GCGGTGGTACAGCAATTAGGAGTAGTGCCTGCGATGCATAAAATCATAATCGTGTGCGCGGCCAATACGAGCCGTAGGGAGGAGGAACCGGTGGATGGTAAGGTAGATTTGGTACATGAACAGGAATACGTAAATGAATCGGTTGTTCCCAAGGAGTCACATACTCGTCAACGGACGGTTGTCTGTAGCCAGGCTTGAATGGATTGCGAGAGTCGGAATCGTGCGTGTTTTCCCGCCTTGGCTTTTCGTCGTAAGTAGTGGTGCTTTCCTCGCTATCCATGTAACGAACTCGGGGAGCCTTTTTCCCATCATCGGCTTGTGTTGACCATGCCTTATCCAATTGTTCCATCGTAGTCGTAGAACGCCGACGAGATCTACGCAAGGGAGGATTCAAGGGCGGCCCAGATTCGTGCACTTTGGGCAACGGGCGCCTTCTCTTTCTATCAAGTACCCTGTCGTGTGCTTCTTGCCTAACTTCAGCAGCGTCCTTATCTCCTTCAGCAATCGTTTCCCAATCCTGAAAGGAGGATGTATCGTCAGGTTTCGCCTCTTCAATCATTGACATGACGTCGTCTCTCCATTCGTCGCCACTTTCGCGGGTTGCACTGAGACTGATTTGATCAGGGGACAATGTTGTCCACGCGTAGAGCAGTCTGTCAACCACTTGATTGGGTTCTGTTTGTCTGCTCCATACTATCATTTCTTTGCCGTTGACGTTTGTAGATATGTTCGACCCAGTAGCCATGGAAGAAAGAGAAGCTTCCGAGAGCGGATTAGGATTGTCGGCGTTTTCAACGGATGCCTGATACCGCCGACGTGCTGGTGGATCTGGTGACTCAGGGCTGAATACAAGATGATACAGCCATGTTGCGGTGTCGAAAGAATCTGCTTTCCAAAGATCTAATTCTGCAGCTACATGTGGATGTTTCTCGGTATCATTCTTAATCTCATCGCGCCGTGCATCTTCTACTACTTGTCGGTTCGCCCGGACTGCGCTTTCAACGATTCTGCGAAAACGATTGGCCTTTGGAGTATTGCGAACTTGTACGCTGAAGTTCGCGTCGCTGTATCTGCTGAAGTTCGCGTCGCTGTATCTGCAGGCGTTAATACTTGGCAAGATCGAGAGCCTTTCTGTTACTTACGGTCTGATAACCTCTTCTCGTGCAAGCCGGACAATGTTCAACTCCAGAACAAGAGCAACTTTGATCCCTTCAACCTTCTTTAGAAGGCTTTTGGCTTTGGGTTTCTTGATGCACCACTTCAGCCTCGCTAGCTTATGAGGGGAGTCGATGAGCTTCCTCAATTCTGCATCGACCTCGTTGTAACGCGATATGATACTACGTGTCCTCTCAAAGAGCTCAGGCTTGCACAGATTCTTGTGACCACCAATGATATCTGCAAGCATCTGGAGGCTCTCGGCCAAGGATTGGATCTCTTGTGCTATTTCAGCAATCTCAACAGGGGCGTTTTTCAGTGTTTGGGCTACACTAAAGAGAGCGAGCGAGAGTTGAGCTGCACCAGCGCCAATGGTGAGTGCAGAGGCAATGACGCCCACTGCTTCTGCCATTTGGATATGAAGCCGCGAACGATGGTTCAGTACCTGTGGAGGGACATGATGCTACGTGCGAGGCGGATGGATAGACCTGCACAGCCCCCTCTCTGTGCTGCCATTGGGGCCAAAAGTATATGCACTCTTGTGCCTCTGCAGCAGACTGCAGGTGGTGGCTTGATAATGCATCTCCTGAACCAATTGAGTGAGTTCTCAAGGCTGAGCTGAGTCTAGTCGGATCAATACACGAGACCTGTAAGCAATCGCTTCATATACTTGGGCATTGCTAAGGATCGCATATCGCAGAAATGCGGGAATTTCGACCGATGTTGTCTCAAGAGTATCTGCATTGTTCGACACAGGCCTAGTGAACTTGGTAGCCTAATGTTTCTCACTTATCGGTGTGTCAAAGTGGGACACGTATCTTGATGTAATCCTGCTTACAGGTCCCCATGCTACCCCGCCGCTCCGTCTCTTCTGCAATCCCCGCCCCCAGCACCGCCACCATGAAACCCTTGGGCAGTCCGAGTTCCGGTTGAAGTAGCCACATCAATTTCGAAGTCTTCGTGGCGGTGCAGACTCCCACACGCTGAGACAAGGCGCCCCGCTACAATGTTGTGGGCTACATATGGACCTACTGCGGGGACATTCTCATCTACAACCACGACTTAGAAGACAAGTCGAGATCCTTCATCAGGTAGACATGGCATTTGCGCGGTCGATTCCTCTCTGGATAGCTAGATTACCTAGACAAGACTCGTTGGCCACAGTTGAAGACTTCTTGGTGCATATAAGCACCGGCTACAGCAAATTACATTGTCCTCAAGATGCGAAACAAAAAATCCTCAAACAGCTTTAAAGATAGAGCGCGATTGTTGAAGAACTGGACGAGATGGGTAAAAGTAGGAAACAAAAAAAACATGAATGACCTCTTTGCACACTTGGGTACCATGATAGCTATGGGGTCGTGCTCATTATGGCCAGCTTTGGTACCTATTGCAAAAGAAGTCAAGTACACAGAACTTCTCTCGGCTGACTCTTGCATTGTTGATCCCTACTACCAAATATTCGCGACATCTTTTGCCCCTAAATTTCCGCACTCCTCAGCCCCCTTTTGAATCTATCTATTGCCCTTGCCTTGGTCTCCTTCCAATCAACATGCGGCTTCGGATACCCCAGCTTCTCAAACTCCTCTTTGCTCAACCTAGCATACGGCGCAAACACAGCCTTGCCCTTTACATGCTTTAGTTCGGGGACCCATTTGCGTATATACTCACCGTCGGGGTCGTTCTTCTCAGCCTGCGATACGGGATTGAAGACGGTATACGACGGCTCCCAGCCTTGCGTGTTGTTCGAGAGATCCCAGTCGATGAGCGTCTCGGCGAAATAACGCTCCCCCCGACGGTAGTCGAGGAGTAAGTTACAGTATAGATATGAAGAAACGTTCATACGAAGCCGGTTATGCATATAAGCTTCTGCATTCAACTGGCGCATTCCCGCATCGATGAAAGGTTCGCCAGTTTGTCCTTTATACCATTTCTCCCATCCCTCCTCGTCGTCTTCCCATTGTACGGCGTCAAACTTGAGGTTCTGCGGCAAATTCATGGATGTATGCGGCGTCGTCATAGTAGTCTGGCGATAGAGTTCTCGGAACACAATTTCTCGGACCCAGCCGTAGACGCCGGTTGAGGCTTTTGCTTCAGTGAAATCGGTGCTACCGCGGTTGTAGTCGACGACTTTTTGGAGCGTGGATCGCATGCTTATCATGCCGGCGCTGAAGTAGGCTGACATGCGCGATGTGCTGTTTGCGGCGGGGTTTGATCGTGTGGCAGCGTAGTGCGAGATTTGCTTCAGGAAGGAGTCCATGCGGGCCGAGGCGGCAGAGTGGCCGGCGGGCCAGAGTTTGCGGATGCGTTTTTTCTCTTCGTCAGAGGCGAATTGCTTGTCACTTGCTGGTTTTGGGGCGGGTGTGTCGAATAGGTCTTTGAGGTCTTTTTTCATGGATGAGGGATTTGCGGCGGGTGGGAGGTTGTTATCAAGCAGTTCGGGCTCAGAGCGTAGTTTTGCGAGCCATGCTTTGTGGTAGGGGGTGAAGATTTTCATGGGCGTCCCGGTACCTGTGAGCATGGTCCCGGGTTCTACGACTGTCTGGTCGTGGTAGAGTGAGACCTGTATCTTGTCCCCGACCGTCTTGACGAGCTTGAGATCACGCCGCATCTCGTCGATTTCGTATTCGTAATTGCCAAAGACATGCGAGACTTGTTGCTTTTTCACCCATTCCACCGCGGTCTCTACAATCTTCTTTCGATCCTCGCATTGCAGAAATACCAATGGTATGTTTAGGTCCTTGAGCTCTTTCTGCATAATCTTTAGACCCTCGCACATGAAATCAACTCTTGCTGCACTCGTCCCGTGCCATGATTCATCGGCTGGGCAGTCCACGTAGATGCATACTAGAGGTTTCTTTGCGCTCTGAGCCAGCTCAGAAGCATGATGGAGTGCCGTGTTATCCTGGATACGGAGGTCTTTTGGGTGGAACCAGTGCGCAACTTTTGTTACATCTTTAATCTCATCTTGGGCGCCCAGGGCTTCTTGAAGCTGGTCATATGGAAGATTTTCGTCCACCTGCTTTGCGCGCTTGGTCGTGGTATGTCCCAGCTCAGACCGTTCATATGACGTTCTCTTTGACATTTTGGCTTTTGACGATTTTTGGACTGAAGCTTTACTTTGGGAATGTGTCGCGTGCGTGAACGCGCGGTTTGGTACGCACAGGTGAGTTTTACAGAATCCAGTTTGTCTAAAGAGCGTAATACGGGAAGTATGCGATGCAGAAACGCGTTTGACAGGAAACATTGATCGCGTAACGAGATGCCGCGCTTTGTCTTTGTACCTGATAAACTTCAAAGCGACCTATGTTGAAAGTGGTGACGTCGGCGGACCACCCGAGCTAGAGCCGATCAGGGCCACACCATGATTTGCAGCGATCGAAAACCAATCGATGGCATGTGCCTCGTTGTTTCAGATCTAGATCCGTAGGACCCTTGATCCGCTGCAGCTCGCGATCCGTACCTAGCCATGGAGGGTTCCTTTGGTGGTTGCATTGAGTGCAGACCTGTGCCCCAGGGAGGTTCGGTCGGACTTCCGGGCGACGGCGGTACATGCAAAGAGCACGCGACACAGCTTTCTGTCAGTACGATACCCTGTAGATATAACCTGCTAAGTTAATGTTCATGCTTGGCGTGCGCTGGGATGGAAAGAGGTTGACAACATGGATCGCAAGTGTTCTCCTTCATTACGTCATGACGGTGGGTTCACGATGTTGGTATTCTCACGCTTGTGTGAGGAACGCATTCGGGGGTCAAACGTGTCTGTCAGGGCCCTTTTTCTGTGCTGGAGGTGTTCTCTAGGTGTCCCGTGTTGCGCGCCGAGATCATACGGTCATATCGGCACAGTATCCGTCCAAGGCTCGGACGTAAAGCTTTTCATCGTCCCATGTCGTTGTCCCGACGAACGAATAAAAACACAAGGTTCAGGGCACACAGTATGCTGCACAAGTCCCGCTATGCCTCGATACGCCTTCGCCAAGCAAAAACAAGCGCGGGGATGCAGTCTTCAATCCCACGGTGAGCAACTACTCAGCGAATAGGACCACAGCTGTCCACAACGTGATGCCAAGATGCCACAAGCCACGCCAAGCCGTCATACTCCAACCTCCCATCAACTGGAGCAAACGTGCATGTCTATCCCAATAAGGCAGCTCATCAGAATCCTTGGTGAGGACATGGGCTTGTCGCGCGGACCAAGCGAGCGGCCTGGAGACTGGATCCGGGTAGCTGGAGTCGTTCTCTCGAGCAGTAAGAGTGCTGGGATATTGCACGAGGACGGCTAAATCGTACCCTGTGCTGCAAGGGAAGGCATACCGCCAATATTGCATGTGGATCCTGGCAGCCTGCTGCATTCACTATGGTCGCATTGGTTCAGATGCGTCATGCAAGGGCCGGGGATCTCTGTAAGCCCTATAAAAGTTGCGGTACAGCTTCGTAGTTTTTGGTCCATCGCAACTCTTGGGAGCTTCTTTTAATCGTACTTCTCTCAATAGCGTTCGCCATGAAGTGCACTTGCTCGAGTATCGGTGCAGCGGCGCTTTTGGTGGGCTCTGTCTTTGCTCAGACGTTTCGCCGTCTTGGAGCTTGTGAATCACTCGGTTGTCTGTTCCCCCCGTCTCAGGCTGATTTCCTCGCTGGACAGTATTTTGACATCCGTCTCGAGGTTCATCAGCCTATGAATGGTTCAGAATTCATTGGTCTTCCTCTAGATGAGAACTTCACTTTGACTGTGAGCAAGAAGGGGGAGGAGGTTCAAAATGCCACTGAATTCTTCGAGGTTGAAGAACCTAAGCTGGAGAAGTGGAATTTTACGTGGTATGAAGGTATATAAGAACAAGGCTTTTAACCGTGTTCATGGCTGACTGTTCTCAGATCTCTTTGCACGTGATGCGAAAACGCCCTCCTTCGTCAATGTCGCTGCCAAAGCATACCGTCGTGTCGCACTTTATGAGCCTGGAGAGTACACTGCTACTCTGAACTACAATAATGGAAGTAAAACGGAAGCAACGTGGTTTGTTCGACCCTTGGCCGAGGAGCGAAAAGCGAAAAACATCATTCTGTTCATCGGTGACGGCATGACTACGGCCATGATCACTGCGGCAAGATTGATAGCACACAAGCAGATCAACGGAAAATACCAGAGCTTGATGGCCATGGACAAATTTCCCATTCTGGGTCACCAGATGACTCACTCTATCGACAGCTTCATTACCGACTCTGCCAACTCTGCGGCAGCACTCAATACTGGACATAAGAGCAGTGTAAACTGCTTGAACGTCTATGCCGACAGCTCCAAAGATCCTTTCGATGACCCAAAGGTTGAAACTATGGCCGAGATTTTCCACCGCGTCACTGGTGGACATATTGGTATCGTTTCAACAGCCTACATTGCTGACGCTACTCCTGCTGCTTTGGTGGCCCACACCCGTCTTCGCAGTGAGTATGGCGCCATCGTTGATACCTTCCTCAACGGCGTCCAAAATTATACCTGGACCAATGCTCCCATCGATGTCATTTTCGGCGGCGGCGGTGAAAATTTCTACAACTCTTCTCTCGATGGCAAAACCTACCAGGACAAAGATTACTACAAAGAATTTGCTGCACAGGACTACCAGATCGTCCATGATCGCATTGCTCTGGCGAACGCCGACCCCAAGGAGAAGACTCTTGGTATTTTCACCACATCAAACATGGCTAAATGGCTTGACCGCAACGTCTACCGTGACAACCTTAACCAGTCGCTCTCACCTACCGGCGACAAGAAACCTGCTCTTGATCAGCCCGGTCTCAGGGAGATGACACTAAAGGCCATTGACATTCTTGAGGCACGTTCCGGCGATGCCGGGTGGCTACTGATGTCTGAGGCAGCCAGTATCGACAAGATGATGCACGTCCTAGACTACGACCGCGCTCTTGGCGAACTCCTTGAACTCGACGACACGGTAAAAGCCACCATCGCCCACCTCAACAGCACAGACAGCCTCAAAGAGACTCTCATCATCGTCACCGCCGACCACGGCCACGGCTTCGATGTCATAGGGTCCGTCGACACCAAGTACCTCAACGCCCAAGGCGATGACCGCAAGAAGCGCGAGGCTATAGGTGTCTACGAGCAGTCTGGAGGATCACAGTACATCAACACTGGTAATCTCACATACACAGACCGAAACTTCCCGTCCAATTGGAGCCCACGTTACACCCTCGCCGAGGGCTTCATGGCAAACCCCGATCACAGAGAGACATGGTCTGTCCACAAAGACGGCCCCCGTACCCCTGCTACTGAGCTTGAGGAAGATAGCGATGATTATTACGTTAACCCCAAAGACGGCAAAGGCGGTATCACACTCAACGGTACACTACCTGTCGAGAACGACCAGGGCGTGCATTCTTTGACTGATGTACCTGTTTACGCAATGGGTCCTTGCCAAGAGCTCTTCCAAGGAACATTCAACAGCATTGACATCTTTTTTAATATGGCGGAGTGCTTTGGTCTTGGCCGGGGGGAGCCGCAAGAGGAAAAATAGAGGGAATGTATAGATGAAGTAACGAAATTGATTGTATCTCCAAGATGTTCGGGTCTGATGTTGATATTGGTGTAAAGTCTAAGGAGATCGATACCCAGGAGGGAAAAACTACGTACATTTCCGACATAGTCTATGCGTCCATACTTTCATGGTGATGTGACACTATTCAGAGCGGAACCCTAGTATCTACCGTATGATCCGTTGATTGCCGCGACTTTTGGAGCGGCCTGACACCGTGGAAGCCTGCCGTTCCCCCTGCCTTTTCTCGGTGGATGTCATGGATGAAGCAGTAGCAGTTATCAGAAGGAGAATATACACTCCTCAATAATTCACAAGTCTAGTGCGCGCGCGAAGAGATTCGTGTCATAGTAGAGTTAACCAAACGGGACAACTCCCAGACCACCGCTCCCAAAAGATACTGAATGATGATAGTAAACGACTTCGATATTATCATCAACCAGAAACTTTGGCCTTTTGGCAGCGACACTGGCGCGGCTTGGTCGAGGGCAGCACTCAAAATCTCCTCATCTTCTCCATATTTGAAAATGGGGAACGTTTTCTATGACATAATCTCACTGCTCGAGCAAACAGGAAAGTCGTCCCAGCACAATGCTGCACCGCTCATTAGCACGCGTGGTTCAAAGATCGACTATCGATAGGCCATCATAGCCCACCCTAAGCTGCCCGTATCACTCGTGTTGTTTATTTCCCACACGGCACGATCAACGAGCGGCTGGGACCAAGCACGAAGCTCTCCCGCAGCCACAAGTTCACTGCCGTGCTGCTTTACCATGTCCAAACTCGCCAGGGTCGCCTCAAACGATTGGCTTGTGCCGCTCTACATAGTAGACACGGGTGTGCCTGCCCGCGGTTGCCGGCCTCCTCAATTTGCTGGTGGCATGGGCACCCAAAGATTGGAAACTCTCCCAAGAAGCTGCAGGCGTCTGAATTCATCCCAACCTCAGGCATTGCTATATACGAAGCAACAGCTAGCAGAGCTGCAATCAATGGCGATGGAGCGTGTCGCTGGAGTGGGGGGCGAGCTGTTGAACTGCCGCTGCTTCAAGCACAGTAACTACAGTAAGAGCTAGTACATTCTCCGGATGATCTCGGTAATGGCCGCGTGGATGGTGAGTATTGACTGTCTTCTTGAATCAGAAAATGCGGCACGGGGGACCATGATACGATTTTACGGTAACTGGATAGTAAGTATAGCAAGGTCTGTGTTCATCACGCAGTCGGAGAACAAAAGGACGTCGAGAGTCGCAACTGGGGATCGCACGGCGCCATGATAACAGTTAGTTACCGGCTCTTGGCAAGACGGCACAACACCAACCCCGGCGCGGGGTGCCGAACAAATGGCCTGTCTAACATTCAACAATGATTACTTCAACAACGCTTACTGTTCGAATCATTATGAACCCGCGGTTGCACGTCTAAGTAATCAGGAGTCGTCGTTCTACATGAGGACACAACCTTGGAAAGCTCCGTATCTATGCTCCAAAGATGACATGCCGTGCAGTGTGATTGAATTTGACCAGCGCGTTGGAAAGGACGTGATACCCAGAACTAAGTTCGGTAGGGGTCTCATTACTAGTTAACGTCTCGCTTATCAAATGTCCCAACTCTGCTGGATACGACAATACGGGTGTTGGTTTGCGCACCAACAGGTGGCCACTATACGAACATCCGGCTCACCCGGTTGCTTCCTATAAAATTGATTTGCTGTTGGCCATACGGGTATTGAGACTGGAAGCAAGCACGAAGAGTAATTTAAATCTGATGTCACGAGGTATCTAGGTGTAGCAGACATGAGAGCCAGCCCATAGTAACGTGGCGACAATGTGTTAAACTCTGTTTCTCGTTACGAAAGTCTAAGAAGCGTATGCAAAGATACGGATTAGTAGACACAATCGTATGTGGAGTAGCAGTGTCATTGATACCGTTTCCCTGAGCCTGTGCCTCTGCTTCCGGAAATGCTCAGTATCCCTCCCTGCATGTTTAGATAAGACTTGAATTTCACGAATCGTGGAAATCTTCGCATATATAGCTTGTCGAGACGCGGTGAGAGCCTTCACTAGTATTCACGGTGAATCAGGCTTCCCGTGCTCTGATTGGCCAGGCACTGATTAGTCAGCTGCTCCGTGCGCGCACCATAGGTATTCTCCCTTCTCCCGTAGCTCCAATACAACAAGTTCACGCACGTTTCTCCACCTTCATCATAGCTTTTAGTAGGACTGAAAGCCTATCACGACTCTGAATCACGATGGAAGAATGACTAATAACTCATGATAAGCCCGTAATTTTCCCATCATATGTAGATTATGGACCGAGAGACGTTTCTGTAGAGTAAGTAGTCTTTTCAGAGGTAAGTTTTTAGGCTCTGGGGGTGAGCAGTAAGAGCCTCAGGAGCAGATGTCTTTCAGTGTGTTGGTATTTCCTGGAAGGGGAAAGGGGAAAGGGGTCCAGTAGAGTGGAAGAGCTTTGTACGAGTTGACAAGACTGAGAACCTTCTCTACACCCTAAGAGCCTACGCGTTCTTCTCTGTGCTTGCTTGTACTCTCTTGGTCGACACGAGAAATTCTGTTATCGTTACGGAAGGTAAAACACGGGCCGGCGAGAAAGCAGTCAAAACTGTAACGGTTTGGGACTTGCCAAGACCGACTTGGGTGAGAGTTGGGTACGGCTATCGCTACCACACTTTCTCATCACATACACCTATATAGCTGCAGTTCGTCCATAGCTACACAATGCAACGCAGTCCTCTTCTCCTCACACCGCTACAAAAACTCTATTCTTGTAGACCCTAGCTGTATGTAGACACCCGGAACAGCGTATTTGACTGCTTCTCCCGTCTCGATGTTGCCCCACTATTACGGTTACGTGCGCGATCAGCAAGCTCCATTTTAAGACGTAAGTTTTGACGGCGCTGACTGCACGGCCAATTCGGCTCCTTGGTAATGCCACGCTTACCCATGGTCGGCCCATCAGCTTCCGGCTCTAAAGTCCTCCGGTTGACTCCGTTGTCTCGCGTGAGAACGTACAGCCAAGTGCCCTCTATAGAAAGAGGATATATATTCAGGATAAAGGTAGAAGTGAGAACTGCACCTCGACCTTGAAAGTGTAAACGATACACTCTTGTTCTCATAGCATCTGCTCTTCATCTTTTCAGCATGTTGTCTAATTACTGGCTTAGCCTGCTGGCTATACTCTGTTTTACTTCCTTCACTTCAACCTACGCGGAGCTCGCCGAGTGGGCCTTGTATAAAGATGATGGCAGTCACCCGTCACTCCCCTTCGATGAGAAAGCACTCATAGCAGTTCTTGATCCTGCCCATAGTAAGAGGTCTCCACCAGTATCTCTGGCCGAGTCGACTACCGACCCCAACCCCAACTTTGCCACGCTTAATCGCAGATACATCGGTCCCAACCCGAACGGACAATGTCCTAAGCCGCTCTATTCTGACAAAGAAGATGACAGGCGTTGTGACCGTCGCTTCGCGGGGCCGGTGACCGATCAATCCAAACTTTATGCAGCTAAAAGCACTACCTGCGCTTCAACAATCACGCGAAGACTAAATTGTCAACTTTGCTATGGTTTCAGGGTCGACAACCCCAGCGTAAGCTTTCTAGTCTTTCAAAAAGATATCTCTGACTCTTCCCTCAGGAAATCAAGACAACTGACGTTCGATGCGGCGCTACTGAAGTATGTACACAGGAGAGTGACGCTTACAACAAATGGGGAAACTTGGAGCCAGAAAGTATTTGTGTCTCAGGAAACAGTATCATACAAGTCGTGGCTGCAAGAGGAACTGCTGTTCGAGAATTTTGCTCCAAGAAGTTCACCTTCCCGAAGGCAAGAGGTTCAGTCGCCGGATTTCACGCATATGTATACGACCAAGTTACAGGTCTCCGAGTAACAGCTAAATGGATGTACTTGAAGATCAGTGGCGGTTATATAGCATCGGCCCGAAACGCCGCCGACTGGGAGACCAATGCCAATCTTGGGGAGTTTCAATTTGCCGAGATGTGTTTCTATCCATTCAGCACCGCTGAGCCGCTGGAAATGGATTGGACAGTTACAATACGAAATTGATAAACCATCGGCAAGAGAGGGGTTTGGAGATGAGGATAGCAAGGGAAATGAAGATGGAATAACTGCAGCTCATCTACCTGATTGAAGTTTATGTGCGTCAGCATACAGTAGCGCGCCCCGTAGAGGGGGTGCAAGATCTTATGTCAAATATATTCTTGTGGTACATCGATACCTTCTCTTAATATGGGCTTACATTCTTCTTCATGACGGGCCACCCTTTTTTTGTTGCGAATGATACCACCAAAGTCTGCATTTAGACTTGACGCTAGACTAGCGGGGTGTCTCCACACGGCTCGTGGCTGGAGTAACACGTGTGGCTGGATGTGTACTAGCGCGACAAGCTAGTTCCTGACGCGTCGTGACGAAAAGCGACCCTTCAGTCCAGTGCCCCACGCTCTAGTTACAGCACGATTGGCGACCGTCTTTCATTGGTCGTGTCTTTTGTATGTAGCAGTATCTCAGTAGCATTTCACTGTATGTTTGATCTGTTGGATACATCTTTTGAGTCATGAGTGACGGCGCATACTATCCTGCGCGTCACGACCCTGACAACCCCACCAACCAGCAGTCATACTACCCTGATAATGCTACATATCAGCAGCCTTATTACCCTGCCTATCATTATGTCATGCCTCCTAGTATGTAGCCCCTCTTTAATACTACCCACAAATGTTGGCTTTGTGCTTACAATCTCTATCCAGGCGGCTATTTGACCAACGAGCATGCGCATACGAGCCCTTCCTCCACAACGCCCGCCCCCACGTTTCCACAATACTACACACCTTCCAAGCCATTGCAGTATGCTTCATCTGTAGACGTGCTGCCTGCCGGATATCCAGAACAAGCATATACCTACGGCTGGCCGGCTCCAGCTGCATATAGCCAGTACATGCCATCGCCAAATACAATCGATGTGTCGGAGGCGTATGCTAGGAAGAGAAAGCCTGATGACGAATACGCAGCCGCGCAACACAAACGGTCAAGGCCAGAAGCATCGGCAGTATACCCTACCTCACGGCCATTGTCGTCAAATGATGGCGGTCGGGTTAGCGGACTTCCTCCCGGTACACAACACAATCCATTTGAGATTGACGCGAGCCCGGAGAAGGCAGTGGGGAACAGAGCGGGAGAGTTGAAGAAGAATCTAGGGCACTCCAACCTCCCAAATGATCTCAGGGAGGCTGGACTCTATGTTCAGAAGCCTGATCCCTCTGCGAAGAAAAGCAAACTCTATGCAGTACCTGGCGGGAGAATACCGGGTATATACACCGACTACCAGTTGGTCATGCAGCAAACAGACAAGTATCCAGATTCGCGCCACAAGAAATTTGGGAGCGAAGATGAGGCTTGGGAGTTTATGAACGCCAATAGGCAGTACGTTGAGACAGCACTCCAACGCCCGAAAGAGAGTGATCGTTCCTCATACACATCGCCTCCTCCACCCTACACACCTCACGCATATGCTCTTCCGACCCCACCCTCAGAGCGATGTGCGCAACCAGCAAACGATGGTACATCATCACCTACGGAACGACCACTTTCAGCGAATCCACCGGATACCCATGCAGTCCATTACGTACCCGAACTTGAACCCACATTGAGCACCGAGCAGCAACATGTGGTTGATCTGGTTATGAGGGGACGTAACGTATTCTATACCGGATCTGCAGGATGCGGGAAGTCTACCATCTTAAAGGCTGTAGTCAGAAAACTGAAGGAACAAGGAAAGCATGTCCAGATCATAGCACCTACCAACCTCGCAGCTCTCAATGTCAACGGGCAGACAATATGGAGCTTCGCTGGATGGACGCCGAACTCGATCAAAAAGTCTCTGGATAAATTGAAGTCAGCTGCTTGTGGAGAGGAATCGTGGGAAAGGTTCAATATGGTGGACGTGCTCATCATTGATGAGATCAGCATGATTGAAAACCACATGTTGGAACGTTTGAGTCAAGTCATGAGCAGTGCTAGAGGGCCAGATCGTGGACCGTTTGGTGGCGTGCAGGTTGTTTGTACAGGTGACTTCTTTCAGCTGTCGCCTGTAAAGCCATTCGCTCATTGTCTCGGTTGCGGCTGGGATCTGAAGCGTGCATTCAGGAATAGCGAAATAAAGTACACATGCGATAACCGTCAGTGTCGTTACAGCCATTTTTTGGATACTGATAAATGGGCGTTTTGCAGCAAAGCCTGGCAGGTATGATCCTTGCCCCATTTTGCCCCCACCTCAGAATTATATTAACAAGCAAAGGAATGCGACTTCGAGCACATAAATCTCACTGAGATCCACAGACAGAGCGACAAGAAGTTTATTAGTATTCTTCAAAAGATCCGAATAGGTATCCTTGCCCTTTACTGAGATCCGCGGTTATGGTGTGCTAATACATCGTAGACGGCACGATTGTGGAAAACCACAAAAACATCCTCCTTAACCACAAGTCTGAGGCAGAAGGGGGCGTTAAACTCTTTTCAAAGGTCGCAGCTGTCGAGAAAGAAAACAGGGAAAACATTGACAAGCTACTTTCCGAACCTATCGACTACAAGAGCCTCGACACTTTCGATTGGAGGAACCGAGAAGACATATCACTGTCGAAATACCAAAAGGAATCGGATAAAGTGCCTGGCACATTGCAGCAACTGGTAAGCGAGTCGATCGGGTTTACATGCTACATACTAACTTTTCCACAGAATGATCATCGTTACGACGCTAATATAAGGCTCAAGGTCGGGATGCGAGTATTACTCAAGGCAAATGTCGAACCGACGTCTGGCCTTGTTAATGGCGCCCAAGGTACCCTTATTGATCTTGAACCGTTTGACGAACACAAATTACCACGCAAATCAGAAAGCAAAAATGACATAAGCGGCAGTATCAAAGGTTCCCACGCCAAGTATGCCGAGCGTCAGATCAAGGTATACGCCGACCGTAACCAAAGAAAGCCGTGGCCAATCGTGCAGTTCGACAATGGCTTGACTAGAACAATATATGCCGACTGTACTTGCAACGAAGTCGGGGACGACGAGCCAGTCAGTGTGTTATCGAGGACACAGATTCCACTTGTAGCAGGGTGGGCTCTGAGCATCCACCGTGCACAAGGAATGACGTTAGACCGTGTAATTGTAGATCTCAGTGAGGTTTTTGAGTCGAGTCAGGTATATGTTGCTCGTAAGTACTATCGGTGGCGTGAACAGTGTGCGGCGTGTGCTAACATATTGCATAGTCAGTAGAGCTCGCTCGTTGGGAGGTCTGAAGGTCTCAGCACTTCCGAGAAGAAATTTGCCAGGAACGAACCAACAGGTGAAGGAGTTTTTCTTGAAACATCTTGCCAAGAACTCGCCTTATTCTTCTCAGATGCCCTCTGCATCACAGGCATCACAAGCGTCACAAGCGTCACAGGTGTCACAGGCGTCACAGGCGTCACAGGTGGCGTCTTCTCAAACATGAGAAGATCGCAAAATTGGATCCTGATGGAGAGGGCACGGACCATCAGCACCTTCCGAGTGGGGGCAAGGTAGCAGGATTTGGATATTACACGGGACTTGGACGTCTCTTTCTTATGTTCATAGAATGATGTTTTGCATACTCGCAACGTAGTCGGGGGTGGTGAGCCGGTCACTGTGATGTCGACATATTTCATTTGTAGCTGGATTTGCACTATTAAATCTCAGAGAACGGACGCAGGAATTATGGGACAATCTACATATGTGAGAGAAGCATTTTTGGATTTTTGATAGATGATGCATACTTTCCTTGGGCAAATGGACGTGTCAACCCCAAAACTCCTTGTGCTAACCCAACCACATCCACACCCGTTCCATCACTGGCGGGCCTGTTGTTTGTATCCCAGACGACGAGGATGACGGCGAAGAGAGCGATTGAACCTTTCGCTCAATGTCAGCAGGCTCTAACCTGGTGTTCATTCTCACTAGTAGGCTCGTTTGCTGGTCATGGTAATTTCAGTCAGCATAGGTTCATGGTACAGCGTATATTTTTTGATCACTTCCTTATTGTGCCAGGGTTGAGATTAGGACAGCGTAACTAACCCGCTTGTGTGTTTTACACTCTAGGAACTGCTTTTTCTTTTTTCTTTATAGTCTATTGGTCAGCCTTCTCGTTTCATCTTCCTTCATCGGTATTGGGTTGTTCTCCGGGCGTTTTGCATGCTGGTTGGAGTTTGGGGCCGAAGAAGCTTCTCCTTAGCTAGTCAAATAGAAGCATGTCCTGGCTATGTTCGATTCTCTCATCGCTCTTTGTGAAAGTGTAGAGCTTCGCTACAATTCTTAACAACTGTTAGGGGGCTAAGAAAAGCTAAGTAGCCTCGAAACCGACAGCCAGATGGATGAGGATGCCAGTGACGGTTAAGACAGCGGACTCCAAGACCTGTCTGGCGCCTACAGTGACCTGTTTACACTAGTATTTCAAGTATTCCATGTCATCCGGGCGATATTGTGACGTGAAAATAGAGATGAAACTGCATGAACGAGTATGCACAAGCCCATGGGCTCCTCAGTCGGATGCAGATACATTATATTCAGTAGACGCAATATAAAGAGCCAGACTATTAACTCAGTCCCCAGCTTCAGAAGTATCGGTCTCCACATGCTTGCTCTTCGCCCTCTTCCTTGCATTCCCAACTTTTGGCCTTCCATTTCCGAGCCACCCAGGCCTCAACGTTACCGGCTGTAAAAACCCATCCCCCACGCCCTCACTGTTCGTCCTCGGATCGTACCCATGAACACGTATACAATGCTCAATAGTGCGATACGGTATTGCAAAGTCTTTCTTGCTACCGTAGCAGTCCGGATGTGGACAGCGCAGTGTGCCAGTCTGGAAGAATGGGCGGTTGAGTGTTGGGCCCCTTGTATTTGAGGGGACGATTGGTGGGGCTGGTATGGTGGAGGGGGTGTACACGACTGGTTCGAGAGGGGACTTCGTGGCCTGTGATTCGGGAATGGGTATGAATGACATGCTTTCGTCGAATAGAGTGGCGCAGCGCTGGGCTGTGCGTGCAATAGCTTCGGGGTCCCAGCCTTGAACAGCAGCTAGTCCAAGCAATTCACTCCAGTCCATAAGACCTTCTCTGAAACTATCATCTTTGATTGTCCATTTTTCACCGTCGCTCTCGCTGCTTGAGGACCTGCGACGCTTCCGTTCCAGATGCTTCTCTTTCCGACGCTCTCGTTTCAGATGGCGTAATGTTGATTTGCCGTGTTCCCACGCGGCCACTGTATCGTGATCAAAATCAGAAAATCTCAAGTTCTGAAGTCTTGTGTTGTCATCGGATGTTGATTCTTCACTCGAAGGGGATGGACTGCTCGATTCAGGGCTCGTGACACTCTTCGACCGGGCTCTTGATGGAGACCTTGAAGCAGATCTACTTAACTCCGAATCAGACGTATCTGCATCGGAAGTGTCTGCAACTGAGCCGTCAGCGCCAGTATAATGATTCGTCCGTGTTCGGAGTATCGCCAGCGCAAGCCTGTCTAACCTGCTGATCATGGACTGGATTGTTGGTTGAAGAATCCGCTGTGCCTTCGTATCGTCAGCCATAACAGTCGGCTGCGTCAACGTGTTGAAATAAAATTGTCTCCCACGCTTCCTAGCTGTAGCTTCATCCCCAGTGTCGCACGCTTCATCATGCGAGTAGCCATCAAGATCCATCTCCCCGTCATCTATATCCCCATCATTCGTATCTCCATCATTTACATCTCCATCAGCTCGAGACGTGGGACGCGAGTTTGCAGGCGTGGTGCTTCCTTCTAGCGACCGGCTGCGCGAAGTCTCCGCAGACTCTTCAACGTCGGATTCCGATGAAGGAGACTCCCGCTGATCCCACTGCTTTCTTGCCAGGCGTAAAAAGATTGCCAAAAGTTCTTCCTTGAGCTCTTCCAATGCATCTTCCACCCCACCAATTTGCCATTCCAGAGCAAAGTCACTCGCCGATGGAATTTCTGAGCGTAGAAGCTTTTCAGGAGGGTCTGGCCATGCTGTCCATACTTTTGGCGGCACCAACTCCGGCTGAACGAGCCCTGCTTCGTCCGTGAACTCTAGATCCTTTCCCGACTTGAGCCAACTATCTCTTCCCTGCCAGCTCTTCAACTGCGCTAGGTCTTGTATAGGTCGTCGCACCCGTCGCTTGAGCGCATGGGCATTGTATAGGTGTGCAGAAAGATCTTCAGCCTCCATCTGCTCGAGTGACTCCATAATTTGAAGTTCTTCGTCCGTGGTGTTCCTCCATCTCTGGGCCTGGTTTGTATTTCTTTGCACACGTGCCGTCTTCTCGCCATCTTCCTCGTCCTCATCTTCTTCCTCCTCGTCCTCAGACTCATCGCTTTCTTCCTGCGAGTCTGTGTCTGTGTCTTTTTCTTCGGTATCACGTCGCTGTATCTCTGGTATATCGCGCGGATTTTCAGTCTCTACGACCGATGGCGACGAGGATACGGAAGAGGATTCCGAGGTGTCAGACTCAGACGATGAGCTGGGCGTCGGTGCACTCCCGCCGAACAACGACATTGTAGTTGCTATGTTCATCGGAACAGGGTTTTGTTCGTGCGGGTATCAGCGTCTGGTGGTTTGTGTGCATGATGGTTGCGGGGTGTCAAAGTCGCGATGGCGGGGTTCTCGAAAACCACGCGAAGTCACGTTGGCGCTAGGCACTGTCCAGTAAACCTCGAATCGGCATGCATTCACTGTGATATTCTGCAAGCTCAAATTCTTTTCCTGCTAATGCGGTTCAATTCAATGATGGTTTAGAGTCTCATGAACAAAAGGAGAAATCAATCAATCCTCACTTACACGAACGCAGAGATTAAGATAGTGAGAGACCGCACGGCAACCAGGTGACAAGACTCAAGTATTCAGCATACGTGATCGCCCGCATCGGAGCGCAATAGTAAGACAATATGTGGTTCGTGAAAATCCACCAAATCAAAGCTTCGCCGCCCTCAAGACGGTACTATCCAGCCTCTTCCCCTCATCATCCTGCTCTCTAACTCTCAGATCTGGAAACTCCTCCGGCATCATCCTCCTCGGCACACTCCCCTCCACCAAACTGTACTTCCCAAACTCTTTCACTCCCCTCGTCCTCAGGAAATCCTCGTCAAGCAACAACTCGCCATTAACCTCCTCTACCTCCGCCCTAATCATCGCCAACACCGCATCTGAGAAGATATCCGCCGTCCTGAGATCCTTTGCGTCTTCTTTCGCCAGATTCTGCGTCGCCCCACTCTGAATCGCCGTCGCGGGCCAGATACTAGTGATTGCCATTTCACTCTTCCCTTCGCGGATAAAGTCCATGGCGAGACCTTTTGTAAGCACGCTCATGCCTACTTTACCCATTGCGTATGCGGTCTTCCCGCGGAAGAAGCGCGAGTAGATGGGTGGGCTAACGACGATTATGCGGCCCCGCCATTTCCCATCCGCTTGCTTGAAGTGAGGCAAGCATGCCTGTATGACACCGTATAAGCCTTCGACGTTTACACGCTGCATGAGCTGGAATCGCTTCATGGGTGTCTTTTCCACGCTTGCCCACCATATCGCGCCACTGTTGTAGATGAGCACGTCTAGCCGGCCGTATGTCGCAACGGTTTGTGAGACCAGTCGCTCTATGCTGGGGAAGTCGCGCGTATCGACGCTTATGGCTGTGGCCTCGCCGCCGGCGTCGCGGATCTCGCGCTCGACCGTGGAGATGGTGGAGCTGGGGGAGTTGGGGTCGGGCGGGAAGGGGGTACATTTTGAGGCATCGGACGTGGATTTTGCTGCTACAATGACTGCGACATGTTAGTTGTCGTTACTTGGAAGGATGGTGTGCTGGGAAGGGGGTCGATGTACCTGCGTAGCCTTCCTTCGCCAGGCCAATGGCGATTTGTCGGCCAATACCCCTTGAGGCACCAACGACGAGTGCGACTTGCTTCTGAGATGGCGACATGGTGTTATAAATAGTATATGTTGACAGTGGGATTTACTTCTCAGAGAGAGTCGTCGCTGACAGCAGGGTGTCCATCTTATAAGTAATGGTCGGTATCATTCAGTCTCCGAAGACAACCTCGGCAGCGAGGGATTGCGTCAGCAGTTGTGTCGCGTAGAATTATGTGCAAATCCTGGGGTTTCCGCATCGTTCGCTGCATGAGAGGTGGAGGTGTCGTTGCTGATTACTGATAGCTCCAGGATGCCATCCCTGGCGTACCGAGGCATCCGGGATATCCCTAGCTTTCATGCGCATTACGACAGCCACTCATAAGACATGGCAAAAGAAAGTGATTCTGATCTCGAATTTTCTTGTATTCTTGTATAACGATATTGCGACCATGGCGGGGAAAATCACAAGCTATCTGGATTGCGGTACGACTGCCCATGTTCTGACTTCCAAGTGTCACATGCTGACCACGGTTAGTATCACCATACTCATACTTCGCTTTACTATATCTCGAGAAGAACCGGGAAGTCCTCAAATCTCATGGAGTGGAAATTGAGTGCGTATACCCGTAGCAACCCCTGGAAATCATCCATCACTATGCCAATCTGTACAACCTGTCCGACGAGATGATCTTCGCTTCCAAAAAGCAAGAGCTCTCACTGACACAGAACAGCATAGTGCCCGTCTTCCTAGGTGGTATCAATGTTGGCAGCGGTACGTATCCCTGCTTCCCCGCTGTACGAGGGTTGTTGAGGTTTGGTACGGACCATACCGTTCAGCCCTGACGCTGTAACACAGGCAACAAGCCCCCTTGGACCCTCGAGGCAAAGGCGCACTACAGCAGGTACGACAGCGCGCGAGCGAAACGGTACTTCGGCGTACCCAATATCCAGACGCCATCGTTCTTCCCGATTCTCTCACTGTTTCCACAGCGCGCTTTGTGTTATGTAAAGGAGGCGCATCGAGAGAAGTTTGTTGCTGTCTTCTTTGACATCTATCGCGCAATGTGGGAAGGTGGCGAAGATGTCAGTAAGCCGGAGATCCTGGGCAAAGTACTGGAACAGCAGTTCAGCGAAGATGAAGCTCGGAAAGTCATGGCAAGCGCAAACAGCGCACCATACAAGCAGCGGCTCAACGATAACACCAAGGAAGCACTCGATCGAGGTGCATTTGGCTGCCCATGGTTCTTCGTACGGAACTCAAAAGGGGAAGAGGAGCCTTTCTTCGGAAGCGATAGGTACGTACCCTTTGTACAATCTCCCCATGTTCTTCTGGCCATATTCCATCTTTCCTCTGAACCCGGTTAGAGACGCTGGATCTCAACGGGTATATCCGCCTCCAGGGAGGAGCTTGCCGCGGAGTGTGGATACTACTATGCGTATGATAACGGGTATATGCGAACCATGAAACATGGCAAACGAACGGTCGAGAGCTGCGGGCCATGTTAACGGGTATTTCATATAGGTTCCACTTCATGTGGGAGTATCTGGGATTGCCGTGGAAGGATATTGAGCTGCTGTCGTCAGGTAGTGCAAGAGCGAAGATCTGATGTAGGCCATCGGAGGCTTGCAGCCGTTGAGCGTGGGGGATGTCCAGAACAGGAGCCTAGAGCTTCTTGGGCACGATACTGCATGCTAGTTAGTGGTAACGTGGATCGAGACAATCCTACGACATCCATGTGGATGTCTTATCAAAGCTCTGGCTCCTCGCCGCCTACTCAATGTTCCATCTTTGTCTTCTCGCCATGCTAAGACATCTCAGCGACATTTCACAAGCTACAAATCGGCTCTGTCGTCTTCTTATCCTCGCATATGTTATCCACCATGCATAACCGCCGTTGCGTACTACCCGTGATGAAGTGAGAGTGTGGACTCTGTGGCCACCGGGGGCGGGTGCCGGCTTCCCCAGACACATGCAAGTTGTATGCAAGATTAAGTCTCCGCGACCTGTCAGAACAACACTGTGCGCCACCCAGGGGATATGCGTGCGCGCTAAGACCGTGTCTCACATGTTCCGTGCTACCGTGGCCGAGTTGGTCGGAGATGGCCATTAAGCTGCGACCAGCCGCGTGGTGGGGAAAAGACGAAATCGGAGATATAGTATGACGATGTATGCATGTGCGGGATCTAGGGTGGTAAGTGGCCGGCCCGCTAGGTGTGTCAAAACGTGGAGGTACGTAGCCGGCACGGAGCGTGGTAGTAATAGAACAGTACCGATGCGGGTTCGCCAGCTAGAAGCCTGAAGCTGTTCTTGAATTCAGCCCATTTTTTGTCATGGAAGACATGTTGACGCAGTAATTGCGAGACCCGTGTGTAACGTGTGTAACGTGAGTGTCTAAATCGACAGCAGTCGTAGTACCCGCGAGCCTCTTGCTATCCCAGCGCTAATCATCGCATCAAAAAGCCTACGTACCTGCAGGTCCGGCTGCTATGACGCCTCGGATGTCCTTTTACTGGTTTCCTGGATATGATAGCTTGTTGCCAAGTCACGTCATGCAGATAGCCGTTCGCTTCTGCATGACAACCAAACAAGACGAAGTAGGTCGTCTTTCGCCAGCTCAGCTAGCACCAAATGAGCAATCTTCGCTTGGCTTCATGCTTGAAAAGTCGCCATAACAGGTTCCGTAAGCGCGAAGTGAGGGGGGCTTAGACCGATCTTGTAAAGCTGCTGGTATTTGTCTTCTTTGAGCTAGCCACGTTGGAGGTTGTCGGATTATCAGCAGGGCAGTGCTGCTGCCTGGAAGAGAGATTGTGCTTGCTTTCGAAAGTGCCTTCGCAAGCCCAAATAATTTGCAAGATTGATGTGAACAGCCCGATCTATACCCAAATGCCGGCATGTCTCCGCCTTCTTGGGTCCCAATGCCCTCCTCTGTTCAACAACAACGGCGGGTCTATCCGAAGTTAGACCCTTGCCTTCCGCGTACTGCAGTATGGCAAGGCATGGGTATTGGCTTCAAACAGATGTCTCATCGGTTCAGTCAGGAAGCGCTGGGACTGTCTTAGATTATAAACGTGTGGATCGCCCCCTCACCTTTACCTCAAACCTATGTGATTGGGCCTCTCTCTGTAGTTGGCTTCGGCTTCATCTTTGCTCTTCGTCTTTTCAGTATACGACCAAGCTGCCAGTGCATTGTGTGCGTTTTCACTTGGCCTACTACACAAGATACTTGTTCCACGAGCTACGGTGCATCGATAAATCCATTAGTTTGTTTGTGGATACTCATGCGACTATTCCCCCATTTTTGGCTGTCTCCAACCCTCCGTGAACTCGTGGCACTTTCTGGTAAGATACCCGCTCTTCACGTCTACCTTTACCAAACCAGTGTACTGACTATGTGTATTCAGGCCCCTCGCGTGGTCTTATTGTTGCATCATCTAGATATAAGGGCCAGCCTCGCTCCTTCCCCGCCTACTTCCACCATTCACAGACACAACGTGGAAATTACGAATCTAGTGTTGTCTCCACTCTGAACTGCGCAAGCCCTGTGACTGGCCAGAGCTACGCACTCCTACCACTAGATTGAGTGAAGCGGTCAAGTCCAGCGAATGTCAGGGGACCCACTGTGAACACTTGATATCCTCATTGAACTCGACACGTCCCCGATACCCCACTTGAACCTGTCACTTGTCACCCCAGATTCACAACGGCGAAGGCTCGGCCTTTTCGACACCGCCTAGAACCCAGTATTCACGTCAGCTTGGTGACATCCTAGAAGGTTAGCGGTCCTCAGGGTATCCATAAGAGACGCTCGGTGCACGCGCAACCATGACACAGGCTCAATTTCTTCAACACCATTGTAGCCTTGACCAAAAGTACTCAAATCGGCAATTCATCCAACAGCAAAGCTGTACATCGTCAGGTTTCAGTATGCCTTCTGCAAGCCTACAGCAAACTGATGACCGTCATTACAGTGCTGCAATGGCACTGTCAATGCTTGTAAGTATTATCCTTAGCACAGTTTTACCGAAGACTAATGATAAAGAAGCAGGATCAGTATGGTCCACCTGTTCAGGCTTGGAACTCGCAGCAGGCCCAGCTGGAGGGTAACAGGCCACAGTCCATCACATCCAACAACATAAGGTCTAGAGCCTTACCATACCCTTGTGTTCAGTCCTGGAACAATTTCGATTTTGGTAGCTCTCACATGTGGGACAGGGACCAAGACGGATTGTCGAGGTCGCCATATATCCTGTCGGACCCAGAGTCGGCTTCTCAGTTCCATCAAAACCAGGAGCTGATGTACGACAACATGGCCACTCAGAACGTTGCAGTCAAGGACTTCTCGTCATGGGTTCCTAAAACACCCAACGGACTCCTCAGTGGAGTGAACATCAATGCGGTCACCTCAGTCTCACCCACAAGTCACCTCAGTGATGACTTTGAGAATACTTACAGCCCGGGATCGCTACTAGAACAGACTTCTCCTGTGACTAACTGGCAAGGCTACTCGCAGTCAGTTCAAACCGAGTTGTATGATGCGTTGGAGACAGAGAATCCTGCCAACGAGGAGTTCAATGGACACGCGATCCCGATGGCTCACGCGCCTACCCAGTATCAGCATGGCCCACAGTCTTCGTCTGCATACTCGTTCACACAAGACGGCACTTCCGGATGTGCTCCTTGGTACCAGCCCAATCACCCGTATGCGCTACCCATGCCGAGCTTTGGAGCCCGCAACGCAGACAGTTACAATACCCATTCCACTAGCAACACGAGTTCCCCTTCCGCGAAAGATAATCAGAGCATCCAATCTCACCAGGCTCTTCGTACATGACACTGCCCACCGAGAATCAATCTCGAGTCTACTCTCAGGTGCCTTTCAGCGAAGCCGGGGTCCAATCTTCTTCGTATATGACACTGCCCGGTCAGGACATGCCGCAAGTTCAGTCAAAAGTTCCTTTCAGCGCAGCCGGCGCTCAGCGCACTTCTCATGCGACATTGCCCATGCTCTTTGACTCTCATGTGTCGACCAACGCAGCCTCTTCCCAAATGCAGAACCGTGTACACAACGACAAGCTGCTGCTTGAAGGCAAGAAAAATGGTTTGACATACAACCAAATCTCGAGGCAGTGGCTAGGACCTCCTCCAGAGATGTCGACCTTGAGGGGCCGCTACCGCGCCTTGATTAAGCCGAAGAATCAACGAGTCCGCAAGCCCAACTGGACACAGAATGATGTAAGTAAATCACAAACCCTCTGACTTTCTTTCGAGAACAAGACTAACATATAAACAGTGTGACTTGTTGAACATGATCGTCCAGCAGGAGTTCGACCGCATTGACGATCAGACCTCATACTCATTCGACGTGTTGCAGAAGCTTACCAAGGTGGCGTGGAAGAAAGTCGCCGACTACATCAGGACCCATGGTGGATCATACCTCTTCGGCAACTCGACCTGCAAGAAGAAGTGGGAAGATCTCCATGGTATCAAGAGGAAGGAGAGGGCCAAGAAGACACGGAAGATGGCCAGCAACTGATGCCGTACTCGGGCCACACGAACAGTGATAATCGACGACAGTCAGCCGCGATACAAAGATGATTTCCAGGCACTGTTCATGGAAGATACCGGAATTGGATCTTGCAGCCTTAGGAGGCCCTTTTACCATTCCAAACGATAACGATGACCGCATGGGTAATCGTCCTTGATATTACTAGCCACCCCTTGAGTAGGGCCCCTGTCTTGCATTTTCCGGTGTCTTGCATCTGTTTTTTTTACTACTATTTTTTGTATTATTCTTTTGGGTGGGGTCATATTGATATTTGCTTCGGTTTCCGTGTCCTACCATCCTTTGTAGGGGCAATTCGGAACAGGCCTTGAGGCATAGATAGGGGCTGCAAAGCAAGGCAGCATACATATGTTGTACTGAAGGGGGCCTTTTACGGATAGTATTACGATAACCTGGTTGATTGCGATTAATGAAATATGAGCATATGTACAGAGATTTGTTGATGCAAGATGGTGATTGTAATGGTGACATGGATCTGGCGCTAACTCGGAGCTTGAAGAAAGACAGGAAAGCATGAACCACCACCGTCCTCCACCACATACCTAGTCGCTACAACACCTATGAGAATGCTACTTGAATTATCCGAGGCTCTTCCGAGCATTGTAAAGCGCAAGTTTGAGGCAGCAAAGGCATCTTCGGATCTGCTGTTTTCGCCTTCTGAGCTGGCAATCATCCGCACATCAACAGGCATCCCCGTAAGCGCACCTGCCATTGCGACACTCACTATGTTCACACGCAAGTAGTTTCAATTGCGCTATTGTCCGTCGCTCGCGAAGAAGCCCCTACCAAATCTTCCAGGTGCTACACCCAAGCAGAAGATCGATCCATTCGAAAACCCGCCAGAAGCACTCCGCATCGCAGACATCCCCACCATAGACCCCTCCCACGTCCTCGTCCTCAACAAGTTTCCTATCATAGCCGAGCACTTCATCCTCGCCACCAAATCAAACAAGAAGCAGACACATGTACTTGAGCAAGATGACCTGGAAGCAACCTACGCTTGTTTGAAAGAATGGCAGGAGAGCACAGGCGACCAAAAGAGGCGGCTTCTCGCCTTCTTCAACTCGGGTGAGCATAGTGGCGCATCGCAGCCTCACCGGCATCTGCAATTCCTACCCGTAGAAGGTATGCGCGATGGTGACAAGACCAGCAGCTGGGACATGCTCATAGACAGTATCCTGGACACCACCGGACAATCGACCACAGCACGCGATATACCATTTGCATTTTTCCCCCGTCTATTCAATTCGGAGCCATCTGGCGCTGAACTCCTCGCCATGTACAAGGAGCTATACGAGTCCGCAAAAGCAGCAGTCGACGCCTTCATCTCCTCTCACCCAGACCAATTCGCCCTTCACCCCGTAGACGACGGCGACCTGCCCATCAGCTACAACCTCGGTATGACAACAAGCGGCATGGTCGTCATACCCAGGCGCGCCGAGGGTACCATGCTTCGCCGCGATGACGGCAGCGAAGTCGGCTTCGTAGCTCTGAACGGCACAACACTAGGCGGTACCATGATGGTCAAGCACCAGGATGAGTGGGACATGCTACGCAACAATCCTGTCCTGCTAGACAAAATCCTCGGTGCGATTGGTATACCTAGAGAACCCCAAGCACCCAGACCACATGTCTAGCGGAAGCGACACTGAGACCACGCATCTAGCGCAAAACCGCACCACTATGAGAGCAGCAGATTCAGAAACCCCCATAGCCACCCATCCCTTGTAAGTCCATCGAATATATGCCGGTACAAATCCCCCACCGAGGCATGGATAAAGTCGTAGAATACACATCTGTCTATACTCCCAACGCACCCCTTCCAATGTGGCCAAGTCCCCAGTAGAAGCGTAGAAGCTAGCCACTCAGGCCAGTGCCGGAACATCCAAAACCGAGGCGTACGTCTACCAGGTAATTTCCATCGTGGAAATGTCGACAATATACTTCATCTCAAACTACTCTACCCTGTATGGTGGATTGATAAGAGGCAAAGCAAGCAAGATTTGGTAATATACGGGAGCAGGGCGCCCACCCCTGGTAGACATATACATGTACACCTGCCCGGTGCTAATTGCCGTTAGAAGTAGAGTAGAGTTAGTGTAGCACGGCAGTATGATTTGTGAATTGAAGTAGTTCTAGCTAAAATAAACTCTTGCCGGCTAAATCCCCCACACCATGACCCCTCTGCTCCACCCGTCCATACACACACACCAGGGTGTCATGAAATACCTGACAGTGTGGGTAAGCGCCTGATAAGCGTGTCTGCAGACTACAGTGGCCGTTTTACACTAGCATGTTGAGTATTCCATGACACCCGGACACACAAATTCTCTCTCAATCCCGCCTCCTAGGTGGCGGACTATTACTATCCCTCTTCATCCTCGCCGGCGGGGGAGAACTACTTTCGCGCCTCCTCCTAGGCGGTGGAGAACTACTATCACGCTTCCTTCGTGGCGGGGGTGGCGTACTGCTCTCACGTCTCCTCCGTGGTGGTGGTGGAGAACTAGCATCGCGCCTCTTTCTCGGCGGCGGCGGCGAGGCCCGAGAGCGTGAACGAGAGCGCGAATATGAAGGGCTGCGACCGCGACGACGGGGCGCAGGGGAGCGAGCTGGTGAGGGACTGCGCGTGCGAGAGTAGCTACGGCTGCGGGAGCTAGATTGCGATCTTGAAGTACCACGGCGTCTGCGGACGGGGCTTCGAGACCGCGTGTAGCTGCGAGTGCGGCTACGTGAGCGGGAATAGCTGCGGCTTCGTGAGCTGGATCGCGATCTTGAAGCATCGCGGCGTCTGCGGGCTGGGCTACGAGATCGTGAGTAACTCCGGCTGCGACTGCGGCTACGGCTGCGTGATGAGTAGCTTGATCGTGATGAAACACTGCGGTTATCTTCTGAATCGCTCTCTGGTTCAGGTAGCGGTTTAGGCTTGGGCGCACTGTTCTTGAGCCACTCGCGCATGTTCTCTGTGAGGACACCCATCCCAATGGCAGTGAAGAAATTGATGGAGAAGCGTGTCTTGCTCTGGTCGTCTGCGTCGGTTGGGAAGATTCCGGTGAGACTGTCTTCTAGCATTGGGTCCTTGAAGCGCTCCACCACTGCCTTCTGACCGAGTGCGGCTAGAAGTTCCTCAAACAGGATCTTGACGAAGATACGGGAACTGGATGTCGTGTCTTCCTCTGTCATCTTGATTACCTGGAAGACGTGCCAGTTGATGCCGTCAGACGCTAACAAGTGGGCAAATAAGTGGGCAATGATACGGAGTCGGTTGGTCTCGAAACGGTGAATGGTCTCGTAGTAGTGTGCAAAGGCCTCCTCGAACAGGTCGGTCCACATCCGGTTCAACTTGCAGAATCGCTCTGCGATCTGGCCGTAGAACTTTTCGTAGGTGCGCTCCTGGCTGGCACATTCTACAATCATAGTCGTGAGTTCGTTCTCCAAACCATGCGGCAAGTTTATCCTCATAAGCTTGTGCACACACTCCTCGAAGCCACCACTACTCTTGATGGTCAAGTAGATAGTTCGGCGCAAGCTGACAAGGTCCGCGTTGGTCTGGTCCTTGACATCCATTGCTTTTATCTCCTCGTCTTCCTCATCTTCAGATGAATCATCCGTGTATCCGTCCTCATCGCTACCCTCTTCTTCGCCCAGAATCTCAGCCTTGATCTTGGCATATTCCTCCTCATGCGCTTCATAGTCCGGGTCGAACTTGAAGATGTTCAGACCGTCTTCCACCTTCAAGTCTCCCTCGAGCGTGAGGTTGTGGGTGATCTGATCCTCCTCTTCAACAAGATCCAGGTCATCCCTCACAACCGGGTTATCCTTGTACTTTGTGCGCCGAACCTCGAACAGAACCTCAACCATGTATTGTGTTCGCTTGTCAATGTCGGCTTCGTGCAAGATGTTGCGCATCTGATCGAAGATGGCGTTGGCGATGGCGGGCTTCATCTCGTCGAGGAAGGCGCCGACCTCTTTCATGATACCAACAGCAATCTCAACGGAATCGTCCGAAGGCTTGTTCAGCAGAAGCAGCAAGATCTCGGCGATCAAAATCTCGTGAACGACCTGCGTGTTGACAAGATGGGAGAGAAACATGGTACTCGACAGGGCAACGGCCTTGTCATTCCTCCTAAAGCCCTTTCGGAATTGTACAATCAGACGTCTGACAAGCAGATCGCCAACTTGCGGCAGTTTGGTGTTTACAATGGCCACCATAGTTGCATAGATGGGCGTAAAGGGTAAACTGGCAGCTTGAGCCTTCATGATGGCCCTGCAAAACAGACCCCGTCCGCGCACCAAGTTTTCAGAGAACAGCTCCGGTACTATCATCTTGATGTTGGCCGTGTTGGTCTTGTTGATCAAACCTTGGATCGACTTCTTGAGCGCCTCCCATGCCATGCGCTGAAACTCAGCACTCTTCTTATCCGTGATGGATTTCTGCATCTCGCGCAAGCGCGCCGGCGGAATATACGCGCCACCAGCACGTGTCTTTGAATCATCGACGGGCAGCTTGCGATTCGCGCTGAAAGCATTCTGGAAAAGCTTCAAACGAGAGTCGTCGTCAGGCAGATCGTCAGTCGTGGGCTTCGAATGCGGCATCGGACGGCGACCTGGCCGTTTTTTGTAGTGGCCGTCATCGTTGTCGTCCTCTCTCCTGCTCCTCTTGGACGGTCCGGCACTCGGTCCATCGAACGGCGAGCGGTCACGTTTGCGCGGGACATCGTGGGCCTCGAGCTCGGGTTCGGGCGAAGGCAATCGAACGGCAGATGCGACCTCCATCATGCGATTACCAAGTGGTGGTGAGTTGTTTGAACAAAGTCGATGTGGAGACGTGAGCAAGTGACGCGCTTCGCAAAAGTTTAGCTCCGCCAGGCCCAGCAACTGCAGACGCTCGTGCACGGACTATCACGTGCTCTTGGCTTTCTTCGGTCGATATACGAGTTATGCTGTTGAGTCTGTACCGTTGCCAGATAACCGCAAGTGAGATGTATGGTCCTGCTTGAATTGTGTGGCAGAGTTCGAGTTATATGTTCAAGTGAGCGTCCGTCTGATATGTACATAGTGACATAAACCTCCGGCCCCAGCGACAGCAAGCTGCGCGGCGAACGGGCCGCGATTTCGCCGACAGGGGTCCAGGCAGCCAGTTAGGCTTGGCGCGACATATGGGGGAAAGAGACCAGCGAGGTGATTACGGGCATCACCAAAAGCCCTCAACGCGCATTCACTCATTCAATTCCCCGCAAGACTTCACAATGGTACATATGGATTCATTCCTGGAGTTGCATGATATACGAATCTCTAACTAACGCAAACAAGGCCGATCGCCTAGTAGGACTCAGCATGCTCGTCGCAGCGACTGCTATCTTCGTTTACTACACCGTCTGGACACTGTTCATGGTACGACATGGCCACTCCTTCATCTTTCGCCCAGGTGTCATAGAATACTTGACATACTAGTGTAAAATGGCCACTGCAGTCGCCAGACACCCCTCACACTGTCAAGTATTTTATGACACCCAGACGCTTGCACCTCCTTTTCTTTTCCCACATGTCATGTACTAACACTCGTTGCAGCCCTTTGTGGACGACGACCACATCCTGCACTCACTCTTCCTGCCGCGCGTCTGGGCTATCCGCATTCCCGTCATCCTCCTCATCCTCGGCACCACCGTCGTCGGCAGCTTCCTCTCCGTGGTCATGATACGGAGTAACCGGAAGAAGGCACTCAAGGCCAAGCAGAAGAAGGCCACCTAGGATTCCCGCAGCAATGGGCGTTGGTGTCCGGGTCTTCAACAAAAGGGGGGACACTTGGTTTTGGCGTATTGAGGCAATGTGTGGATATATATTTTAATTTGGAGAATCGAGGGACCATAGCATGAGAGTGGTGTACGAATACTCAATGCTTCGACGACTTTCTATTTTTGAATCTCATAAGTGAAGAGTAGACCCATCTACGACTAGACGACTCGTCCCAACGCCCGGCTGGCCTGCTCACATAATGTTGCAGTTCTCCTCAGTAATGACAATAGGGTGGCCATCTTCTCCTTCCTCTCCATCACCGCCCTCAGCACCGCCTGCCTGACCCCTTGCGATATGTCTAGCCAGCTGTGCAAATACAGCCTGGCTGATGAAGTAATCGTCTCTCCCACCTTTTCTGTCCATGTCGTTTTTGCTCGTAATCTGATATGCTTGATGCATTCTCTTGCGACTACTGAGCCCGCCAGGTGCAACCTCGTCGTCACTGTCGCTACCGGCTTCGACTGCTGCTTCACCATCCGCATCGGTTGGAGTGTCAGTGGCGCGATTACGGCGCCTCCGCTCCCAATTGATGCTAGAGAAGACGCTCGCGTCTGATGAGTGTACACCAACACCTTTGCGTGCGTTGCGTTGGAGATGGGCGTCTGGAGAGAAGATCTTGATCGTATGATCGATGCCGGAAACTGCCATTGTTGGTTCGTAGGGGTGGCCTGACTCTGTTAGTATGATTCTCTGTACTCACGAGACGCAACATACCCTGAATAACGTTTACCACCTCCCCATCTCCCTCCAGGATGTTGACCAAATGTGCGGTTTTGCGGTCCCAGATGAACACATGTCCCGAATCACTTCCGCTTACGACATACTCGTCATGCAGGCCGAAGTAATTGACATCCTTAACAGTCTTAACGTTGCAGTGGCCTCTGTAGACGCGGGTATGAGGGATACATGGAACGTCGCGCTCCACTTTCCATCGCTTATACCGGCTTCGGCCAAAGTCTGAACGCCAGAGCAAATGTCCACTGCGTGTGCGCGATAACCCTTCTTCGTCTGAGTCATCAGAGTCATCAGAGTCATCAGAGTCATCCTCTTCTTCAGACTCCATATCGCCATCAGTGTCATCTTCATCTTCATCGTTTTCCTCTTCCTCATCTTCGACAGCTGTTCCAGCAGCCATTGTTCTCAAACCACTTACGGTAGCAGAGCTCGAAGACAACTCTCCTTGATCACTACCAGCTTGTGCTGAGGCACTGACCACTTCTGCCTCGCGGACAAGTCCCTCGTCTATCAAAGGATCGATATCTTCCTGTTGTTCTCTCAGCGCTTGCTCTTCCGCCCTGATTCTCTTGTCTGACAACCCGCGACCGCCGTATGCGCGATCCACAAACGAGAACTTTATATCTTTTGCAGCATTAAGAAGCACACCTCTCCCAATGTAGTATGCCCACCTCCGTTTCGCTGCACTCCGGGTTTGGGTAGACTCGTTAGAAGAAGGTGCTTCTGGCGTCGACTCCTCCTCACCGGTCAGATCCGCAAATGGTGTTGATATAGCCTGACCGAAAGCATCCACTGCTTCGATCTCCGAATCGAAGAGTACGCGTGTGTCATCTGTCTCAAATTTCGAGGCATCGGCATTGACGATACTCTTATCGCTGGCAAGTTCGAGCAAGTAGGGGATTAGACGTTCTTGAATAGCATCCATATCCGACCCATGTGGAATGGGCAGACGAGAATTACTGCTTCGCCCCGAGAACCCTTCCACTACTGCACCTGGCCCGCTGTCGAGCCACAGTAAGATGGCTTTCAGAAAATCATATCCGAATTGCTCGTGCTGTGGAAGCTCTCGCTCTCGAGGCGCCGGTTGTATTGAAGCAAAGTGTTGGGCAATCAACGCGTCAGAGCTGGATCCGGTTAGAAGCTGTCCTCCTAATACCCTTGCCAACGTTCCAGCGGCCTGTACGAAGCGACGAGCTGCTGCCCGGCTATCACGAAGTTTATTTTGCAGTGCAACATCCACAGGATCTGGGTCGATCGGATAGCCCCACGTTCGATCAATGTCGTCCATGTCTGCTAGTATCGAATGAGCCATTCCCAAGATGGAAGTGAAGGCTAGCTGTAATCCGGCCTCTCCATGTTCTCCAAGGTCAAAAACTCGTTTCGCTATCTTGACACAGGTGCTTGCAATACGGTAATGGTCAGTCCCGCGCAGGTCATTCAATTCTTCCTGTGTCATGCGGTTTTCGGCAGGTGGTGCGATGCGGATATCTTCACTCTGTCCATTGCCAAAGGTGACACGAAGTGCCAGGTCGTCATCAGTACTCTCTGTGCGTTGTCTTGATTCTGCCCTCTCAATACCTTCCCGAGATAAGGTGCTAGATTTTGTTCGCTTTCTCTTCCTATTATCGTCCTTTACTCGATAGCCAGACTTGCTATCTGAAGCCTTGATCGGTGACACTTTTTCTCTCGCATCCGGAGCTCTTAGCATGTCGAAGCTGTATATGTGCTCTTGGGACCAGCTGACAACGAGTTCGTTCGGTTCGGCATCGCTGATCTTGCATGCTGTGATATGTCCACCATCGTTCCTGCTCATGCGCTGCTTGCCATTGGGGGCAAACTTCTTGACACACTGGGTTGCCTTCCCTAGTAGCTCATCGTCATGGTCACTCCAATTGCTTGGAGAAGAAAGCCTTGACCCACGTTCGCGGTTCATGTCGCGACCAAGCATACGTCGATCATGCAGGAAGCAGTGTAGATGAGCCCCACCAAGTGCGATATAATGCGGTTGGCTCGGAGAGCACGAGACGGTGTTAAGATCTAGGCCGTATCGGCTGTACGAGATGAGAGGCGGCGGAATGTTGTCCGAGGCATCCCCATCCCTTGCCCAGACTGGGACCATGGTGTCTCGCGCAGGCGGGTATGTCTTTGATGGTTGTCGTATGTCCCATTGCCGCACCTCGCCATCATTTGAGCATGTGAGAAAGTAGAAGGGTGTGTCTTCGGTGACGATCCGCTTCACCGTGTCGGTGTGGCAGCGAAAAGCTTTCGCGTTCGTATCCCCTTCGGTGAGTGTCACTCTACGTCGCGTCGAGCTTGTGCCACCATTATTCAATCTTCCAGTAGAACGGAGGGCCGAATGTCCTGAATGCTCAATGTCGAATATCCTCACATCGTCGGTTGCGCTGACAATGGTGCGGTCGTTCGAATATGGCATAAACTTCACGGAGAAGATGTTGGACCGATGTCCCGTTTGGATCGACGTAGTAAGGTTGAATTGCGAAGTCGAGGACTCGGGGTGGTACGAGTGGATATTTATTCTGTGGTCGTCTGAGCCTGACGCAAGAAGGCGTCCGGATGTTGACCAACTGTATAGTATTAGGCTGTGTTTGCGGAGCTCCTGTAAGTGCCAACGTACCTCAGCGCATTGACGCATCCACTGTGGCCTTCTAGTTCGTTCACTATATCGAGCTGGTCTATCCAAGTTCGATCACCGTATATCGATCGAATGTCGCTGTACTTTCGACGCTCTTGTCCAAATTCCCGCTTAAGCAGGCGATCATAAACGGTGTACTTCATATTGGGTGGTATGAAGTTTTTCGGGAGTGTTCAGGTAGTTGGTGAAGAAGTGCTGAGCAAAGCGGTGGAGGCAAACGGTACGAACGGACGGCGATGCTTCGAGAATCAGCTAGCCGAATGTTGGGTCTTTCTGGTTGTAAAGTTCAGTCAGGCGGAACAATACGTAAGGTCGAAGTATTTTGTGTGAGCATGGCGGCACCCTCCCAGAGAAGTTGGTGGCGTTGGCGAAGACTGCGCGTTCGTACGTCTTTGAAGGTCGCTGGAAATGACGAAAGGTAACAGGGCCGCCGTCTCCGCGAGAGCGAACCCCGAGCTCTCCCCCGCGGCCTCCCGCCGCTGATCGTCAACGCCTCTCTCCAGCTTACACCTTTGCTCATCGATGCCAAGGAAAACTCACGGTACTCCACATGAAGCATTATTATTCACGACATCATGTCATCAAAATAAGATGGCTACAAAATGATATCTAGTATTGGAGAAAGTTACATGAGCGCATGATAATCAAGCTTAGTCATCACGCGTACCTGCATATAAGGGACATTGCATGATAGTATTCAAACAAAGATATAGGTCAATATGAGAAACGTGACTAGTATACACTCGATAGTGATAAACTTCAACCCTCCAGCTACAAAACTAAGACAGCACCAACGACACCAACAAGCATCATAAGCCCAACACCAGCACGGTTGGCAGCGCCTTCAAACTCCGACGGCACGTACGAAGAAGGCATGGCAGGCTTGCCAGTACCAGTAGGCATGGGAGCATACGCGCTTGTAGCGTTCTTGGCAGGAGCGACGGGGCTGTAAGAGGCGCCTCCTGCAGTTGGGTAAGGAGCAGGAGTGTAGGCTGGGACCTTGGTAAGTGTGACGCGAATAGTGCTGGTAACTTCGACCGGCTCAACTGGCTTCTTCGGGTACTCGGAAGCAATGGGGTAGGACGGGTATCCGGGGGAGCTTGAAGAAGAAGCAGCCTTGGAAGCTTCGGGCACAGCGGGATAAGCTGGGTATGAAGGTTCCTTAGAAGCCTCGGGAACTGCAGGGTATCCAGGTGTCTTGGAAGACGCAGGTACTGCAGGTTGTGAAGGAGCCTTTGAGGATTCGGGAGCTACAGGGTATCCGGGAGCTTTGGACGATGCAGGAGCAGCTGGGTATTCGGGAGCCTTAGAGGGCGCAGGAACACTAGGGTACTCAGGCGCCTTTAAGGATGCAAGAACAACAGGGTATGCGGGCTTGTCAGATGACACTGGCGCAACAGGATAGTCTGCTGGGTATGCGATGGAAGGAGCAGACGAGGGGTATGAAGGAACATCGGTGGGGGTCGCGATAGGCTTGGTGAGCGTCACAGTGACGGTACTGGCGGTGTAGACACTGGTAGTCCAACCCTCCGGCACATCGGTCGACTGGGTGGGCTTAGTGCACTTTGTGCAAACTGTTGCGATGTAGGTGGTTGTGATGGTGGTAAGACCGGTAGGGCAGACATCGACATAGGTAGCTTAGATAGATTAGCATATGTTTTGAAGATCATGTTGATGAGACTTACTAGTGACAACAGTGGTGGTGGATCCTGTAGGGACGCTTGGGTACTCGGAATGCTCAGGCTTCTTGGTTACGGAGGGGGGAGCGCTGCTGTAGCCAGTGCTGGAGGCAGCAGGATAGGCGACGTCGCTCTTTGAGGTTTCAACAGGGTAAGCTGGGTAGCCTGCGCCCTTGCTAGTAGAGTAAATTGCAGTGGCGGACACTGAAGACTCGGTGGAGGGTGTAGAAAAAGTAGCTTCAGGGGTCTTCTCAGAGTAAAGACCAGTGCTAGACGCCTCGTAAACAGAGCTAGAGGAAGCACCAGTGGAGTAAAGACCGCTTGAGGTGGTGCAAGGGGTAGAAGAGGCAACCTCAGGAGAAGATCTGGAGGGGATCTCGCTGGAGGTCGAGGCCGAAGGGTAGGATCCGCTGTAGACTGGGGTCTCACTAGGAAAGGGAACGTAGACCGACTTGCTGGCAGACTCAGATGCAGAAACTGTGAGAACTGATGATGGCTCAATGAAAGTACTGCTGGCCGTCTCAGTTGGAATAGGAGAGTAAACTGAGCTAATAATAGACTCGGATACAGAGATCATAGCAACCGAAGATGGTTCAATGAGAGTGCTGCTAATCGTCTCAACAGAGCTGGGACCCTCAGTCGGAAGAGGAGAGTAGACAGAGCTAATCACAGTCTCGGACGCGGAGATCGTGGCAACGGAAGAAGGCTCAATGAAAGTGCTGCTGACAGTCTCTACGGAGCTTGTGATGTCGGTCGGGAGCGGCGAGTAGATCGAGCTGCTGACGGAAGCAGAAATAGTGGCGATCGAAGAAGGCTCGATAAAGGTGCTGCTAATGGTTGCAACAGAGCTCTCGGTTGGGGAGGGGCCGTAAACGGAGCTGACAGTCGTCTCAGAGGCAGAGATGGTAGCAATTGACGAGGGCTCAATGAAGGTGCTACTGATGGTCGCAACAGAGCTTTCAGTCGGGGAAGGGCCGTAAACAGAGCTGATGATGGTCTCAGAGGCAGAGATGGTAGCAATTGACGAGGGCTCAATGAAGGTGCTACTGATGGTCGCAACAGAGCTTTCAGTCGGGGAAGGGCCGTAAACAGAGCTGATGATGGTCTCAGAGGCAGAGATGGTAGCAATTGACGAGGGCTCAATGAAGGTGCTACTGATGGTCGCAACAGAGCTTTCAGTCGGGGAAGGGCCGTAAACAGAGCTGATGATGGTCTCAGAGGCAGAGATGGTAGCAATTGACGAGGGCTCAATGAAGGTGCTACTGATGGTCGCAACAGAGCTTTCAGTCGGGGAAGGGCCGTAAACAGAGCTGATGATGGTCTCAGACGCGGAGATAGTGGCGATTGAAGAGGGTTCGATGAAAGTGCTGCTGACGGTGTTGACGGAGCTGGAGATCTCAGTTGGGACAGGCACATAGACCGAGCTGCTGCTTGGGACTGAGGCTGAGCTGGAGGCAACAGATGAAGAGACATCCACAGCGGAGCTGGAGGAAGCGTGGACGGAACTGCTGCTAGAAGAAGATGCACTTGAAGTAGCGTAGACAGAGGAGGACACCTTGGTGCTAGTAGCCATAGTGCTGGAGGACATCTTCGTGGACGTAGCTACGGAGCTCGACGCCGGAGTAGTGGACGTGACCTTGGTAGATGTGCCGAGTGTGCTCGAAGATGTCTTGGTAGTAGAAGCTGCGGTGCTCGTAGGCTTGATAGTGCTAGAAGACACGACAGGGTGGTACATCTGCCTGAAAGTTCCCTCAACGGCGTACTTCATCCATGTACCATAAGACTGACCATAAGTGGGGTTTTCTTTGGACACTGTCGCTTCCCAAAGCATAACACCACCAAACATGCTGTCTCCCTTGTAAGTCTCGATCAAGTAGTTCGCCTCCTCGGGAGTAAGTGAGTGGTTCTTGTGTGTGGGAAGACCTTCTGGACCGGCGGCCAATCCAAGGTAAAGCTTGATGTTTGGGTTCTTGGAGTTCGCCTTCAACCAGCTAATCCATGTCTTGAATGTGAATGTGCTAGGTTTGTTTGCCTTCATGTCCTTGACAGCCTTGGCGGCAGAGCAGATCTCAGTGTTGTAGAACTGAGTGAAGAGCATGTCGAAAGGAACTTGCTGGAGGGCGATGAAGATACGAGCATCGGGAACGACACATTGGGGAGCACCGGAAAGGAGCATGCCCGAATGTGCTTTAACATATTTGCCAAAGACGTCGTAGTTCTTGTACAGAAGATCGGGGGTAGGGACGTCCCACTCTGCGGCTTCAAGGTCGAGGTCAAAGCCATCAATTACCGCATCGCCGAAAGGACGGGGCTTGTTGGCTGCCTTCCATTCTGGTGTGAGGGGTCCATAGGCTCCGAGCAGAAACTCAGCGAACCAGTTTGCAACATCTGGAGTCGGCAGGGTGTAGTTCGTTGGCCAGCCACCACCAAGGGAGAGCATGACCTTCTTGCCACGTCTCTGGCAAGCCATAATAGCTTTATCGACACCAGGGCATGAACTAAGAAGCTTACTTTCCTTTCCCGTGGTCGGGTCGATGTAGTATTGCGCGCCGCATGCGTTGGCGTGATTCGTTCCTGGATATTCGCCTCGCTTTGATGGGAATTGGTTCACAACTGTTGTAATCGTTAGGTCAACAGTGTTCTTCTCAATCCAAAAACATCCCCAGAATGGCAAGAGGTCTGTAAAGATTGCAATGGAATAGTAGCTGGAAAATGTCTTTCCTTGGGGCCCCTAAATGGTGTGCCAGTAACCCCTGTGCGTACCAGCTGAAAAGTCTTGAGAGTCACAGAATTTCTTGGCTCTTGCTTCATGCCCTAGTAAAACAGGTTAACTTACACCCGATGTTAACAATGTCAATGCTAGGATCAACGCAGACTTCAGCGAGCGAGATCTGATTGCTTCCCTGTCCCCAGTACATGGCGACATTGGTCTTGGCAGCATTGTTGAAAGCAGCGGAAGCCGTCGAGGCAATAATCCCAGCCGCAAAAGCGACACGATTGAAGGTCGATGGATACATGATTATGATATTAACAGTGAAAACAACGTAACGCGATTTGAATGACAGGACGGCCGAGGCCAGTAAAGATCGTGATGAGCGGACTCAACGAAAGGACGCAAGCAAAAATGCTGCAATTAGGTGTAAACTCAAGAGAGTGACTTGACGAAGAACTGGAATACAGAGCGACTCACGATGAGAAAAGAAGACATGGGAGATTGCACTACATCAAAGCTTGGCCTGAGGGTCAGTACCTGCATAGGCGATGGGGCGTTCGCTGGCTGCGCCGTTGTTAGCATGAAGCCATGGTGCATTTTGACACAACTGGCGACATTTTCCTGCAGGAACAGAAGGATGGCTTTCATCTTCCCGTTCCATTGGTGGATAGTATGGAATTCTAACTACTTCAGGCTTGAAGTGTCGTAGGGCGTCCAAGAGTACCTGCGTCCAGACGAGCGCTAAGCTTCAATATGGCTTGTGGGAACACTCCCATGTGATGCTGCAGCCTAGTTTGAAGACCGGTGACTGGGCCGCGTGTAGAGAATTCAAGTATCAATCTCGGTTAAGAAGCTCAAAGTGTTCCTTCAACAGATGGCAAGCGATGGAGGGCAGGGTGATGCCGGATCGAAAAAGCAGAGCGGGTAGGACGGTCCAGCGTGCCGACGGCATGTATTCTCGTATTTCCACTATTATGCATGTACTCAAAACCAACAACCACTGCTCTTAAAGATGTTATAACTTACATTAAATCACCCTGCGCAGATAAACTGGGTAACGAAGATGCCGTGGTAGTCTCCTGAATGTGCCGCGGGCAAAGCCAGAACACCGGATCCATCGTGGCTGCCTGCGAATCTTCTCATGGCGGCAGACTACAGTGGTTCCAGCCCGATGGGGTAAGGGGTCCGAGCAATATGGTGTTGGCTGTGATTGAAAAGGCTTCGGCTACGGCTCAGGCGATCCCATAGTCAGGGGGCTTCGGCGTTAACCATGCCTCTTTAGGGAAAAAGCATTCAGGCTTGTATCAACCGCATCCTTCGAAGTGACATGTTCAACCGCCTTGGCTTTTGTCAAGTACTGGACAACTGTGAAGTAAGAATAGCTTTGACGTCCTTCCCATCTCGTCTTAGCCCACAACTTGCATTCCCACCTGCTAAATCACACTTCTCCAACACGATGTTCTGTCTCCTCAAATTTGACGAATGCCCTGATTATAGTGGAGTGCTGTGGGCCTGATCTTGCACTAGGATTCTTGCGGACCCTCGGAGCCTCCGTCACAATCCATCGGATTCGCGAACCTGACACGTCGAACTTGAGACCAAGAGAGCGCGCTGCACTTGGCATTACCGATAACGACCGCTATGCAAAGCTCGAGAGTGACGGGAGACCCTGCATCTTGAGTCTGACTCATCCGCAGTGCCGAAGTACCTTGCTCCTTAACGTGTAACGATAATAGGTGACATAAGAGCGAGCGCATTATGAAAGTGACTAGACCCTGGGGTAGAGTGAAACTGATGCGCGAACACGTTCGACTAATTCTCCCGAGATGCCAGCCGTCGGCGCACAAGGTGGGTATGGGTGCAAATCATAAGTACAGGGCCCGCCTTTGCCGAGGCAGATTCCGTCATGACTAAGCATTGAATTAGGTCAGCGCCCTGTTACAGCTGCCTAGGGACTGCGTGTAATGCAGCAGCTCTTCTACACCTCTAGCAGAGTGTTTGCTCACGAGAACATACCGGTACACTCAACGTAGTGTAGAGAGTTACCAAAATCCAACCTATACCATCACATTATGGGTGTTTCTCGAAATACCTTGAGCCACCTGGATCTGGTTGGCTTGGTGGCCAAGAACATCAACTCCTATAGTAATTTGTTAGTAAATCGATGCAGCCACGCTTTCTAACACCCACAACGTATTTGAAGTTCATTGTTTGCTGCGATCGCCTCTACTGACTCGCGTTTTTGGTGTTGCAATTTTCTCGAGCCCATCTCATCGCGATGCCAGGCACCGGCCACCGCTTGCAGCCCGCTGTTCTCCAGGCTATCCTCGACCGAATTGCTGCCTGCGAAAGTGATCGAGCCATCTCTAGAGCTACAGGTGCGAGCCGTAACACAGTAGCAAAGCTGAGGTTGAGCTTAGAGTTTTGGGGCGTGCCTTATCCGCCGCGCTGCGTTCGACTTGGGCGGCCATCTATACTCCGGCAAGCTCAGCGCGAAGGCCTTCAGGCATACCTCAATGGCTCACCGGGCGCATACATGGATGAGATGAGGGACTTCTTGTACGACGAGTACGACGTTAGGATAAGCCTTGCGAGCGTTTACCGAGAGCTAGAGAAGATGAGATGGTCTCGCAAGCTTGCAACAAAGCGGGCAAAGGAGCAGAGTGAGCCACTCCGCCGCCTCTATCTTGCCAGGATGGCGCAACACTATAAGGCGGAGCAGATCGTTGCGTTGGACGAGAGCGCCTGCAATGAGCGTACGGGCGACCGCAAGTATGGCTGGTCTCCAATCGGGGAGCCGGTGGAGCTATCACACAGCTTCAGGCGATCAGAACGGTGGTCGCTGCTGCCAGCCATGACGATAGATGGCTACATAAGCTATAAGATCTTTCAAGGCGCGATTACATCTGAGATCCTAGAAGACTTCTTAGAGTTTCAAGTGCTGCCGTTCTGCAATCCTCACCCAGGGCCAGCCTCAGTAATCGTGCTTGATAACGCCTCCATCCATCGATCAGAGCGTGTACGGGTGCTTTGCCAAAGTGCTGGAGTACTCCTTGAGTATCTGCCGCCATACTCACCAGATTTCAACCCCATCGAGAAGAGCTTTAAGCAGCTCAAGGGGTGGATGAAAAGGAATTCAGCGCAAGCGGAGAACTTCATTGACTTTGGGGTCTTTCTTGAGTATGCAGCGCAGCTGGTGTGCTGTAATATTAACTGCAGAAGCTGGTTCCATAGGTGTGGCTATCCCTATTAATTGTGCTTTTAAATGGATGCCACAGTACGTTTCTATAGGTAGATGATACCATACAAATGCGAACGATTACACCTTAATGCGCAACCCACAAAAGCGATTTAATAATTCTAAAAAAATAAGAGCTATTTCTATACATATAGAACTATCTTAGGAAGTTAACCTGTTATAATCGCATAACGTTGTAGTGTTGTACATAGGGCTATCCAAATAGACTATTGTTGCAGCGCATTTGAAACGCCTGAAAAACCTCAACACTAACGTGTCTGTGCGCGTGATGCCCATAATCGCGTGCCGCACACCCCACCAATATCGCGACGACGGCAAAGTTGAGGCTGTGCAGCCACGTACAATAACTATTATCGCGAGATTTTCCGGTGTATTGATCTATAGACGTAGCTCTACAACTTTGTCTATCTATATTTTGCCGGAGTATTGACGGCCCGGCCGCGTCGGGTGGTTGTTGGTGGGGGAGCCGGTGCAGCCACCTCAGCCAGAGTGCCACCGCCAGCACCACCCACGCGTCGTTTTTTTGGCTGTTGCTTTGCAGCGGGCTTTGAAGCCTTACGCTTGCCCGATTGGGGTTGTTGTATAGCCTTTGCAGCGTCGCGATCGCGTCGTTTGGCGTCAAGTTCGGCAGCCTTTACAGCCTTGGCTTCATCCCGCACCTTCTTTGCCTCCTCACGCGCCGCCCGCGCTGCCTCTTTGATCTTAAGTTGATAGATCCTGTTGTTCTCCTTTGCCTCTTTCAACTCTATCTTATCAAGTAGCTCTTTCTCCTTCTCCTTCTCCTTCACTAGCTGCCTGAAGCGGGCCTCTCGAAGCTTGCACGGCGACCACCAAACTGCCCCTGAATGGAACGCTTTTCGCTGCTGTAGATCTAGGGGAGGTTCGTGCCGATTGCGGGGCTTCTGGTGAACGTGTAGCGCCGCGCGCAGTGCGTCCTTCTCGTACTCGGCGATCTCTTTGGCAGCCTGGAGGCGGAGGAGTATTTCTGAGAGGTTGTTGGCCGCAATAGAGCTCGGATCGTAGGCCTGATTAATGAGGTTCGTGATAGTAGCTCTACTCACGTTCACTAGTGGCGGCGGTGCTGTTAGTGTTGACTTTCGGAACTTTTTAAGTACTACTTCGGGATCTATAGGAGCTATCCCAGTGGCTTTAAATGCCTTCAACGCGTGCTTCTTAATGAAAGAGGAGTCCCAGGCAGGCTTGAAAAGACGGTAGAAGTCATCCTTCCTCACAGCTAAGAGACCGTGGCTCGCCTGGAGGTAGTGCTGCAAGCTGAGTGAGTACGCGGCTGCCAGAGGTTTGAACATTACCACATCGAGTGGCTGCAGCGTATGGGTACTATGGGGGGGTAGTATGAGTAACATAATATTGTGGGCGATCGCATAGTCAATAAACTCCATAGTAACGTGACTCCCATGGCCGTCAAGGATGAGTAAGCGTGTGTGATTGCCGGCCTTCTCCTTCGTATGGCGATCAAACACCTGTTCGAGCCATGCCAGGCCTACCTGATCATTGGTCCACCCTGAGGGACTTGAGGTAACGTAGACTGGATCGTCAATTGCGATATCATCAACCCATCTGGCGTACATGTTGCCCGAAGTAGCTTCGTATATAATCGCGGGCGGTAACGTACTCCCATCAGCACATATAGCAGCGATAACAGTGATCCAATCTCTGTTGCCGTCCTGTATCACTTTCTTAAAGCCCCCAGTCTCATATTTCTGCTTACTAAACACTCTCTTACTCCTCCCCGTCACTCCAATAAGGAATCCCTTCTCATCCATATTATATACATCCTGCGCCCGAATATGGTGCTGAGCCATTTTAGTAGATAGTAGATCAAAGTACGACTCGTACTTGTATACAGAATCAGCCCGGTGGCGATTGCGGTCCAAACCAGTTGACCAACGTGATATAATCGCGTCGGGATGACGGTGAAAGAAGCGCGTCACCCAGCTTTGGGAGGTAGCCCTTCCGGCTATAGCACTAGCAAAGTTCTGGATCATAGTCCTCGTCGGTGGTAAGCCAGCCTCAGTAAGCTCGTCAATGTGCTCTAGAAGCTGTAGCTCCTGGTGTGGGTGAAGGAGTTGCTGATTACGTGATTTGGCTTCATTTGAGCCCCGGATCTGTTGATGGCGTCGCGACAACGTAGAGCGATCAACACCAAAGCGGCGCGCAACCTCAGAGTATGTAAATTTATCTCCGGGATCACGCGATTCAATAGCTTCAATCGCAGCGTTGATACAACTCATGGTTGTGGAGTTATGGGTGGTTGAAGTGGTAAGGGTGGATTGGTGTTGATGTTGCGGGGTGTGCGGCACGCGATTATGGGCATCACGCGCACAGACACGTTATAGCGGGCACGGGCCGCTGTCACCAAAAACGCTCAGGCCACTAAGCTTCAAGCATTCTCGCCATCATCCTCCACAACACTGCTAGACGGTTCAACCACCAATTTCTTGCGCGCAATCTCTTCTCTTTTCTTACAACGTTCGACTCGTCTCCAGTTACGATCTGTGAGACCCTGGTACCCAGCTTGCCATTCTTTTGCAGTGTTTTGTAGCGTGAAAAACCAGCCAGGAGGCTGCTTGAAATGCTGCGTCCACAACTTCAAGATATCACCAGATGGCTGCATCAAGAGGTTGATATCCATAGCTCCGTCAATAACAAGAGTCTTATAAAGCTCGTTAATGTCCTCTCCAACTGTAGGAAATTTTAACTTAAGGTAGTTAAAGAAATTACTAGTATGCTCGTTAATCTCCTGCTCATGATCATATCGGATAGGCGCCCACTGAGATGCACTAGATACCTCAGCTCTTGTTATGGTTGGTGCAGCTGCCTGCAAGTTAGACTCCTGTTGAGGTTGCCTGTTCATCCGCTCAAGCTGTCCAACGATGAGCAGTTTTGTTAAGCTTTTGATATCATCGTCGCCATCTCCAGCCGCCCGCAACTTGCGCGTTTTCTCATGCACCCGCAGGTCCTTTGCTCTCAAAATTGCAAGCCGTACATCATCAGATGGCTCATCGTACGTTGCCCTTCTCGCTGTAATTGCTCTTGCCCACATGGAGATAATGTTGCCGTTGACAAAGAGGTGATCTTCGAAGCGCGCTGGCTGCCTCGCTGTTGGCGCCATCCAGCAGCAATAAGGATAGTTCTCGCAATGGGTATCTGTACAGCGCCATCTATCCCGGATAGCAATAGCATGCCCGCTACCTGCTTGTTCAGCTGCTATTACACCAGCAAGCCCCTCCTCTTGAATCACCGTTGCGGTGCGTCGACGAGGACCGTCGACAACCGTTGGCAACGGCTGCTGCTCCCCTGGAATTTCAGCCAAGATGAGCTCGAAATCGACGTTTACTGGCTCGCTGACATAGTTATCAACCTCTACAACAAGGCGCTGAAAGCTATTCCACGTTGCATCAACACCTCGCCGCAATCGCTTTATCGCGCGCTCGCGTTTGGCCTGCTTAGCTGGGTAAACAACAGTGCAAACAGATGAGATCTTCGCTCTTTTTGGCCGTAATTCTGCAACAACGTCATCTACCCACTGCCATAGGTCGTCGAAATGCAGCGAGTACAGCCGTACGCCGTGCTCGCTATCGGCAGCTTCAGGAATAAAGTGTTTCTCCATATCACCACCAAGGCAAGCCCTCCACCTAACGCGCAGTACAGGATTAACCTCATCCTCTAGCGCTTGCGATGAGCGAGGCAGCCATGGAGTGCCTTCTTGACGTCGGTACGCTGGCTCTCCCTCATCCTCAACACTACCGGCAGCGCCCTTAGCAGCGATCTCATCCTCATCCTCAGGCAGCGGATCGCCATCTCCATCCTCGAAAGTATCCTCATCCTCGCCAACGATATCTTCAGCTTGCGCGGAGGCAGCTGTTTGGGTGGCTTGCAGCTCAGGCTCGGACAACGGGCTTTGACGGCGCGGCGGGGCAGTCGCTGGAGGCGACGGCAGCGCCTCACGGCGGACACGTTTAGGCGTTAAATGGGTAGGATTTTGTCTAGTTGCTGGCGCTCTACGCTTCTGGGAGGACGGGTTAACGCCTTGATCGAATGGCTGCTTCGGCTTACGCTGGCGCTTGGGCGGCATCCCAACAGCAGCTAGATTGAGCTCGCAACAAGCTCCACACAAACAAAACGCTATACACGAACGATTTAGAGTACAGGACTAGCTTCATGGGCTTCTGGAGGTGGGAAACGGCTGCTGCATTAATTTACTAACAAATTACTATGGGAGTTGATGTTCTTGGGCACCAAGCTAACCAGATCCAGGCGGCTCAAGGTATTTCGAAAACCACAATATTAAAGCAACATCCCTCGCTTTCTCCACTACAACACTCCCTCCCCACGTTTGCGCATTCCTCCTGCCACATGATCCTGCTATACATGGACCTTTTCATAGTCTATATATATATTACTTGCCGGATATTGTACCCGGCAGACTTTTACGAATGGTGGACATTATCCATCACCTTGTACTTCCCGCTTGCTTTCGTACCTGGCTACCTCTCCCCAAGTACTCAAGTCTACCTATTTACATCTATATCAATTCTCATATGTAAGTCATAACATATCTTCTGGGTACCATTTATAATCTTCCTACATGATTCTAGTGTGTATGTGTAGGGGCCGAGCATGTGACATCGGGAAGGATCTTCAAGATTCTATGGATCCAACCACCACTTGAGCGCCCTTTAGGAACTTCATACTTTTCATGCTTGGGCCTTTATTTTGCGCGTAAATTGGTAGGCTGGTGGCTGCCAGTCGCTATACAAAATCACTTCCAATGCCCGCCACTAGGCTAATAAGTTTTATGAACGATCTAATACGACTTCTGTGGAATCTTTGGACTGGCGAAAGCCCAAAAAAAGCGCGGTTATATTTGATATCCTTTATGATATTCAGAGTAGTCTCCTTCGCATGGGGGTGAACATATGATAGAAACTTTTAGTGTAATGATAAGTATTCGTTAGAACTATCCGAAAGGAATAGGGCTGTTGTAATCAATGAGTTTAGGCTGTACGTCTAGTCTATTCCATGCGGGTAACACGAATGTCTATGCACGTCGTTTAAGCGGTGTGAGAAATTGGTGGCTTCAACGATTCCACACAATAGCAATGTGTGAACTTCGTGATCCCAAGACCAGTCAGACACTACATGTAGTGGTTGCTGCGAACGCTAAGTGATATTCCGCCTTTGCAATGCCGCTGCATCAACTTTGAAGACCGAACAACGTCGCGGCCATCAGAAAGGGCGAAGGGCTGAAACACTGCCTGCTCCCCCGCAAACAAGTCCGCCGAACTTTACTTTTCTTTCATGAGCGTCAGTGTTTTGCGACGTTAAAAATGAAGTACATTTCGTGATATCTATCTATCTATTACATCTGAACTTTGCAGTAAACATTGCTTTTGTCGGATCGTGAGTATCGGTAGAGACGTCGGCTGCTTGACACTTCGGCCCACCTTGCGCAGAGCTTAGGTGTACCTTCGTAGCAGCTATGTTCGTAGACAATGAGTACCAATACCAGTCACCAGAAGAACCTCGTTGTTGTTATTCACCCGTACGATCGTACAAGGCCTACCAACAGCTTTCGTATTTATGCATCATTTGGACCACATACATAACATCATCCTGTAGTCCTCGTACCTCATGCGACTGCAAAACGACTGCGCTCCCGTAGCCGCTTGCCAAACTTGAACAGCGCAAAGATGCCGCCGGAACACAAGACCATGCACCCGGCCAGTAGACTCACACCTCCATCAATTCCAATCCCCTGGAACATGGGCCTTGCGAAAAGGATTGCCGCAAAAGCAAAAGCACTTCTGCTCAGACTGTTCGCGCTGAAAATACTTGCCGCGTATCTCGGGTAGATGTTCGGGATGTAGAGCAGCACACTCTGCGCGATGAAGTAGATTCCAAAGATAGTGAGACCAAGACCGATGGTAGGTACGATCCAGTGAACTGATGGTCGCGATGCCCATGCGAATATGAATAGGCCAACTGCAATGACGGGACTGGCTACCATGCCTGGCCAGAGATGGTTCTCAAGCTCGCCAAAGGTTCCGTTCATGAGACGAGGGAAGACGCGGTATTTGAGATAAATCACGTGGATTGTGAAGGCGAACATGCAGGCAGGGAGGATGGCGAGGAAGATGAGACCAGTGGACTCTGCGTTGAAGCCATAGTAGACTGGGTACACTAGTGGGAGTGACTAGAGTATGTCAGTGACCGTGGGGATTGAATGTAGTAAATAGGTACGTACCTCGAAGAACGAGTAGTAGATGCCATAGCACAAGCCCATGTACACTGTTGTAAACAAAATCGCAGGGTCAAGCGCATTGATCTCCCAGGGCTTGATCAGTGCATCGAATAGCAGGCTGCCGATCTTGATGTTCTTCTGCTTACGCTCCGACTCTGACATCAACTCTGGGTTACCAGTTTGCTCTCGGATGCGCTTCGCCTTGTAATACAGAATAGTGGGCCCGGAACTTTCTGGCAGTGTCAACAGCAGCGTCAGATAGATTGGGCCCGCGATGATGAGTAGCTCCCAGCTCGAGAAGCGCCACCCCAAGTCTTTTACAGCGTACGACGATAGAGTAGGACCCAGAGACGGGCCGAGTGTCGCGACAGCAGCCCAAAGTGCGACAGCAAATGGGAACTCGGCCATTGTCCAGATGTCACCAAGGGAAGCACCAGCCGTAGCGAGACAAGGCGATGCCATGAAGCCCAAGAGAAATCGCAACACCATTAAGCCTGGGAAGTTGTTCACCAGTGAAGTCGGTATGCACAGGATGATGAAGAGGAACCCTGAGATTGCGTAAGGGGGGTTCCTTCCTATGGCCGGTACTTCGGAGAGCGGCGAGAAAAGCAGACATCCTAGGCCGTAGCCTATCACATAGAGTGCGATGCCCAGAGACGCCTCCACATTGCCGACATCAAACTTGTCCATGATGGTTTGCTGGGAAGAGGTGTATAGTGAAGAGCCAACATATACCGCGAATGTATAGACGCAGAGTAGAACCGTCATGAGGATCTTGTGAGATTGAGGCCAGTTTTGCGGATTGCTGGGGTCATCCGGTCCACTCCAGTCTACTAGAAGAGTCTGATTTTGCTTCAACTCCGTACCAACAGTGCCGGTCTCTGGCGGGAAGGGAAGTTCATCTGTCGAGGATGAGCCGGAAATTGTTTTGGTGGTGGTGCGGGCAAAGTCGAATTTTCGGTGCTTGATGTAATGCGCCAAGGTTCCCACACTGGAGTGTTTGAAAAGGTACGACATGCTTGCGGTGTAGCGCAAGGCGCTTGAGATGTAGGATTGGGAGGGAACAAAACAAGATAAGGAAGAGAACACGGCAGGTACGTCCGTCAGATGCGAAGACGAAGAGTATTGATTACCGCCGTCTTTGAAAACCCGTTGCCTTTATATCCCCCGTTGCCTTCTCTTCTTGCGTTTAACTCCGCATCTTACACGACCCTATAAACGTGTTTGTCAGACCCATTCTCGCAACATAAGACCATGGCCCCGAAGCTGAGACGGCGCTGCAATCACAGTCCTGTCTATGCATATCTCCGCTAAGGCCACAAATCGGAAAATAGACTGTCAGATGTTAGGTCTCACTCCGTCACTTACTAATGTACTATAGGGCTGAACTTTTAGGCGGCCATCAACCTGCATACCTTGGCTCAACACGCTTCTCTTTACCATTAGTCAGGCGTCTATCCAATGATTTCTTTCAATGTCAAAGAAAGCGCAGAGTGCATGGATAAAGTGGGCGATAGCAGCGGCGTAAGCGGACATAATTGGAGATAAGATACCGATGATAATTCACCGGTTGCAGTGGCTGCATATGTAGAAGAAACGCATCCATCGTTGTTATGACCACCGCATGTACGAACGGAGAGAAAAATATAGGTCAGAAACGGATAACAAAATTTCGGGTGAGCCCGATACTCCCCGGAGACTCGTCGATCATCCTATGGAGACAATGGCGATGATGACGCAATCCAAGATCAGACCAATTGGGGACAATGCCGTATGGGTTGCGCCATCTTGATGAGGGTGGGGAGCGTAATGGGCGTTCAAAAGGTGTTCTGACAAAGCAAAGTTCGTTGATATTCGTCCGAAGCCACAAAGCTTGGGAAATTACCGCTGCCTAGAGTGCCGACGAAGGGGATACGGTCTGACACAAGACCGAGCACCGGAAGTGGCAAGTACTGAGGCTGTGCGCCAAGAAATGACTGGGCGCGAAGCAAAAAGTCGCCAGTGCGCCGACACAAGTTATGTTGATGAATGGGGATGGGATAGAGGAAGTGCAGTGTAGTACTGTAGTGTTAATAGCCCGGAAGTAAGGCTGCACGTCACCCCTGGCGCCGCTCCTTAGTGCCCGCCGACCCTGGTGGAGCAGCCACGTGACGCGGGGTTTCCAACTCACATACAGTTTCATTACGCTCCTGCACCATCCAACACTCATAACCGTAACGTTTCGACGAAAGCGCATACACAATTTCCCTCGTACATGTTACGAGCTTTTGCGGCTGCTCGGGACCCTTGCGGCGAGGGGGTGGCCTGATTGGCACGCCAAGCCGTATTTAGGGTTCACCATCGTGCCTCTGTACTAGGTCATCTCGGCTTTACCTTCAACTGTCAGAATGCCGTCTTAGCAGAACACTAGACTCTTACCTAGTGGCTGTGCCTAGCCTTGGTGTACAAGCTCTGGGCTGTGAAGGGAGTGCGTTTGGGAACTTGTGGTATGTTGCACTTGCCTTTCCTTCAGCCTTCAGCCTCGTGGTCTTTTATTGTTTCCTTTGTTACTGTCGCTCTCTCACTGTGTACAATTTGCTCTTCTTGTGCAATACAATCATGCAGAAGCCCGATCACCTGATGCCTCGTCATAGATCCTACTCCTTCCGCCGACGTCCACGATCCCACGCATTCCGACTATTAGCCCTTCTTCTAGTACTTTGGGACTCATTACACTGCATAACACTTTATACTCGACAAATCGCAATACTCAGCGCCCCGCCGCCGCCACGGAACACAAAGCGCATATTCATCGCCTCCCAACATTGGAACGACGCACGCCTCCTTCGAAGTCACTGGAACAAGGCGCTGGTAGCATTGGTGCAGGAGCTCGGGGTCGAGAATGTTTTTGTTTCTATATACGAGAGCGGGAGCTACGACGACAGCAAGGATGCGCTGAGGGAGTTGGACGCAACGCTGGAACGCCTGCAAGTGAGAAGATCAGTGGAACTGTCGGACGTATCACACGCAGACGAGATCGCGCAACAACCTACCGAGCACGGATGGATAAAGACACCAGATGGGGAAACACGCATGAGGCGCATCCTGTTCCTCGCGACTGTGCGGAATCGTGTCTTCCAGTCTCTGGAGCATTTGACCGCTGCAGGAGAGCACTTTGACAGTGTACTGTTCCTTAATGATGTCGTCTTCACGCCGAAGGATGTCTTGCGATTACTCGACACGAACGGTGGGCACTACGCAGCAGCTTGCTCCATGGACTTTGCGAAACCCCCGGAGTTCTATGACACCTTTGCTTTGAGAGACTCGCAGGGTCACGAGGCTGTTATGCAGACTTGGCCTTACTTCCGATCGCATGTATCGAGATATGCAGCGGAGCGGTTCTTACCAGTCCCCGTTGCTTCATGTTGGAACGGCATGGGTCAGTACACCCCCCACTTCAGCATTTGTCTCGTACTAACACACCCAGTCGCCATGCCGATCGACCCCTTCGTCGCTAGCCCGCCCCTCCGCTTCCGAGGCATCCCCGACTCCCTTGCAACATACCACGTAGAGGCCTCAGAATGCTGTCTGATCCACGCCGACAACCCGTTTTCCACATCGAAAGGCGTCTTCCTCAATCCCAACGTTAAAGTCGGCTACAATAGCACCGCATTCGACGCCGTGAACTCGCCTCAAGCCATTATGTCACCCTTCAACATCTGGACAGCAGTCTGGAAAAACCGTGTCCTGAGATTCTTCACAAATCCGCTCTTTAAGGAACATGTGGTGCGCCTGCGCCTGCGGAAGTGGAGCACTGAGACGGAACAGTCGAGCGAACGAGGCGAGTTTTGTCTTATCAATGAAATGCAAATTTTGTTAGAAAAAGGATGGAAACATGTGTAAGCCGCTGGGCAAACAGCGGGATATAGATTTTCTTTGTCAATAGTTACAACAAATTCAATACGCAAATGATGTACTCTTTCCTTGAGTGACGTAATGCCATGTGAATTGGTCCGTGCATCTCGAGGCCCACGAAGAACGTCTCGAGTCAATTGGGAATTTGAGATTTACATTGGTATTGTTTAAGAGCAAGCCGTAAAGATAGACATGAAGGACTGCAGGCTGGTAGAAGCTGTGCAAGGCACGGCTATTGATGTAGTGGCATTTCGGGCAATTGTGCTTGTTGCAGTAGTCTCATCAGCATCATTAAATATCACCAACTTTGTAAGAAGAAGGTAGAGACCAAATTTAATATCGCATTTAGAGATGATTAAAAATCCGTATATATCAAGGTTTGTGTCGGATCGTGAGTATCGGTAGAGACGTCGGCTGCTGGACACTTCGGCCCGACTTCGGCCCACCTTGCGCAGAGCTTAGGTATACCTTCGTAGCAGCTGTGTTCGTAATAAATCAATCACCATCACCGAACAGAATGCATTCCTAGTTATCGTTATTTCCTTTCAGCACTAGTGCTATAGACCTTCCAACAGTTTGTTCTTTACATCAATAAATCGAATCCACATAGCATATTGTAGATCCTAGTTTACCTGATTACATAATACGCCTAAGCCTCCTCACAACGTCCTGCTTAGTCTTACATCCGCGCTAACGCCAGCATTAATGTTATAAACTTGCGCAGAAGAAAGATGCGATATAGAGAATTGGTAATGAGCTTATTTATTCATGCTTCTGCTATAATGGGTAGTTTAAACATGTCTACCATACTTGCCTTTACCTTTCCTAGGGAGACACAAGGCCATCGCATTGCTAAGGGACCTTTCGGTGCTTTCCAAGCTTAGCCATGTCTTTTTGTGCATCCCCTGTGGTTCTCATAGAGAAGCGTGGATGTGGTGTTGCAGAGGTGCGCTAATAGCACGGCATCGCATTATTTGTTGCTACCTTGCCGCACACTTGCAATTGAACTGTGACAGCATAGAGTAGACCGGTAGAGGATTAAAGATATCTGTGCTGGAACACTAAGGTAATCCTGCAATTAACGCTGTGATTGTGAGGTAGCTACCTAGAACTATTAGCCCTATCTTACGTTGTACCCCACACAAACAGCGCCACCACAGCGCAATATTAGAGCAAAAAGAGAGCAATCCTAGCTGTGTCTCGAACGTTATGCCCCTTCAAAAACAGCATAACCATAGTATAATATTAGAGTAAAAAGAGAGTAAACTAAACAGTGTCCTAAATATAGGCTCAGCTAAGTGTAAAAATGAAAAATAAAATAACAAAAAGTTCGGGCACCTTCCCGGGAGTTGTTAGTCGGTTATACATACCTCTCCCTGGGATCCCTACATCTTTTTTTCGAACCTCGCCGCTTGCCAGACATTACTGCATGTTTTGACGCACCTGTCTGTGTGCCCCCCTAGGGGGACGCCCGAAGGCTTTTCGCACCCTGTGTCCCCCCAAAGGGAACCCCCGAAGGGAATAACCCGCACCTGTGTCCCCCGAAGGGAACCCCCGAAGGGAACCGAATCTATGTCCCCCAAAGGGGACCCCCGAAGGGATTCGAACCAACGTCCTCGAAAGGGAACCCTCGAAGGGTGGAAGCATGACCGGGTCCCACCGGGCCAAAGAGAGTCTTAGACCTTCTTTGACGAAAGCTAATTGTGTTAGACTGTTTATATAGTTGATTAATTCAGCAAGTGACTGTTTAACAGTTATTGCTTGTGCGACTTAAGCGAGTGGCAGCAGCAGGTTTGTTTGCATGTGAACATGGTCCAGGACGATCGGTCTACAGCTGTGGTGCTGGGATTGCCTTGTAGCGTTCAACGGCCTTAAGGAATCTTTGTAACGTAATCTCCTTCTTTTGCAGCACACCAGAGAACTCCCACACTGTGTGGCAACCATGTAGTGCCTCGTAGAGCCCCATACCAGGCATGGCAAGAAGCTTACGCTTCGCCAGTAGAAGTCATCATCTCAGGTAGACTTGACCACCTATGCTGTGACTCAGTGCAGTTTGGTAGAAGTGAATCAATCAGTCCGTACGCTTTCAAGGACTATGCAGCGTGTTCACGCCCTTTGCAAGTCTCCATGGTTTGGTATGCATTGGCGATGACGTTATGTGAGGATTCTCGCGATGCACAACAGCACCACACCACATCACTCCAACGTAGACCAAGTACCAGCTACAAGCTCTGTATCAGGAGGCGCTACAAGATCCTCGTAAGGTGTAGGAGGAGAGACTACCCTTATGCATGGTGAGATGCAAAAAGATCAGCTCTTGCCCCTTGGCACGTCTACGGTGGCGGTGTTGGTATTGATCACCCGCTCTTCCGTGGCGCATGCAACACCATGTACACAACGCCATGTACACAGCACCATGCATACAGCACCACAGCTACCACAACCATCGTCCCCGGTCTGACTGTAGCTATAATGCTAATCAACAGGATAACGCCGATCGACGCCAGGATAGGACTCAAAAGCCTTGCCGATAGTGAGCATAACGCTGCTCGACAGCAGGCCCATCGCGATGGCCACAGCAAGACATTCTCGCGGCGCACCTGCCCAGGAATCACAGCCATTGACAGGAATGCGAAGACATTGCGCTCGTCATGCGACATGTATGCGCTTCTGGCAATATCGTCCTCGAGGCAGACGTGCACTCATATTATTCACCGTCAACAGCAGCTAGCCTGAGGTCCATTTGGGCTTCTCGATGTCCAGCTTCAACGACTCCTTAGCGTCTTTCGCGGGGATACTACGCCACCTTCGACCTCGAGCGACGACGATCGATACAGGAATGCGCCAAATCCGAATCCGCAGAAGAAGGCCAAGAGCAGGCAACAAATCTTGTGCAAGCCCAACCCAAGGGAACCCCTACAGCTTGCTCTCTCGAAGAGTCTACAAGGACCTGGCTTCAGACTTGCACATTGGTAGCCGAAAGTATCTACCCATCGGAAGACGGGTAGGCAGCCTATGCCACAGCACCCTCCGAACCAAGGAGGACACAAGATACCTGTCAAATAGGAGGACCATAAACGATACGGGTTGTATGGCCTTTGCCATGATCTGAATGGCAAAAGCTGTCGAAGGCATCTGCTTAGATGATATAATGCCACCATCCGAAGTCGACAACTTAAGAGCGAGAAGATGGCAATGAGTGATAGGCTTCTTTGTTCGGGTGGTCCAGACCAGATATATCCTAGATGGTAACGATGCACAGCCGAATGCAACCTTGATCGGCACTGCTGCGTAACAACACAGGCTTGTAGAAGATGTAAGACCGGACATGTATGAGTGGCCGCGAGATGATGCATCATTTTGTAAGAAAAAGTGTTGCAAACATCGCCAGAGTTTGTCGATATAGTTCGGATTGCTTTGATTCATTGTCTTTTGAGTCTTTGTGGGCTTGAGTACAATCAGTCTCGACGCTGAGTGCTGAGCTCCATGGACAAGAAGGGGCCTGGGTGGGTAGGCCGGTCCTGGCTCGTACATATGATTCCATCGCAAGCTGACCTAAGGTATGTAACCCCTAGGGGAAAGGATGTAGTCACATAACGTTGGAGTCTGAGCTGCAGCTAATTATTTGGGTAGTTCACAGTTCCTCCTTAGGTCGACCAAACCATGGACACGAAGCCCATGAAAAACAATCTTCATCTCAACCACTTCCTGGTTGTTATCTTCCGACATCACTCTGTGTAGGGGGAGAAGATACCTAACCTTGAAGTAGGTGAGATGAAGTTTGAGCGTCGTGCCTTGGGTATCTCGTACACGTTGAGATTGAGGTGCCGACTGGGATCGCTTGGTGATTGCGAGAACCGTAAGTCTATGATTCAAAGGCCATATATGCTCAAAGCTTATGGATAAGCACCACTAGGCGTGGTTGTTGAGCATAGGTGGCAGATGTATACAATTATTATTGCAGAGACGATGCTGTTGCAACATTGGTCAACTGCTCGAAGATTTTCAAGACGTCCAGCTGTGGGTTGCCAGCTCAAGCCAAGACACACACCCAAGGCCAAGAACCTTTGTACGGTATATGTTGATGGTCTGCCAGACTTGAAGGCATTGTCGCGGAGGATATGGCCAGAAACGACGCCTGTCTCTTGAACCCAAGCCTTGTCTTGACAAGCTCAAAAGCCACGGTGGTATTCCGGTCTCTTTGTTGTACTGGGGTAGGCCCTTCCTGTACTGCAGCCAGGTGGGTGCAGCGCAGGAGGGGTACCTGTACTTTTACTTGAGTTGTCTGCATAGGTGCGGCCCCGGAGTCGGATACCGATAAAACTCTGGCGCTTCGGATAGCCATGTCTGCATCTTGCTGCAGTAAATGCAAGGCGAACTTGCTTGTGCGGTGTCTATGAGGAATCCGATCTTGTCACCACCGTCGTGATTCTTCGAATCGAAGGCTGCACTTCGTTCGCCGTGACCGCCCTTGCTTTTCAGGCTCAGTCTACCGATGTGTATCGTGCTGTGCGTATGATATACGGCCGTCTTCGTTGTCATCGCGGGTGAGGTAAAGGAAGGCGCGGGTGCCACAGCTATTTGCTCTCGATGCACAAGAGATTTCTCGTAGCCGATGAGAGAGCCTGCTATCGGTTATGTATGACAAGACTCAGCTGCCTTAGCTGCTGTCGCTCTACTGGTGGTCATGGTCGCGGCTTGGTCCCAGAAGTCTCTTTGACCCCCCCGCCCCCGCCTCCATCGCGATAAACTTCGACCTTGCAGATGCCAGGAAATGTACGACATCTTCCTACGTGTCTCTCGAATCTCAGAAGAGCTGTCATCTACCAAAGTGCAGCCGCTGTCGGTGGTGACATCTGCTGGAGCATCTGCAGGAGGATGGGAGACGGGGAATCTCCTGAGCTTGGCGGACCACCGAGCAAAGCTGCCGTGACCCCAAAGAGAAGCCAGGAAAAGCTACGACAAGAGTCAACGCTCTACAGTCTCATCAAGACATCCAAGCTGAGTCTGCTGTGTCCGCAGATGCTGTGATAATCGTGAAAGTAGTGTCGGTCTGCTTGGCTGAGTAGGAAGGCGCGGCCGATGACGGAAACCACAACCCTACTGTTAGCGGCATCGCAGCATCGATGGAAGGCAGCATGATGAGGCCACGAAACACATCGGCTGCACGAATAGCAGATTGAAACCCCCCCCCCCCCTCTGGAAACTACGGCGAGTATAAATGTGACGTGGCGAGGACAGCCGGAGCAAATTTGCCTCCATCTGTTAAGGAGAAGGCCGCCATGGGATAGAGAGGAACAAGGAACTCAAACAGACGAACATTGATGCTGCAACAATGAAAGACGTCTTTCAGACATGCGACAACGTTGACGAGAGCACCGACATTCGGTTTGCTCTTCCTGTTGAGGCATGGCGTCCGATTGCATGTGTGGGCGTCTTCCAACTTCATCCCTTGTTTCCAAAGGTTCCTCCTACATCTCAAAGGGGCGGCTTCATCGCCAAAAGCACGAGGGCACACTTCATTCACATATTTCATTGTCCCTGTTCTGTTCCTCTGCTCGGCTTGGTCTTGTTGATGGGGATGGGGATGGGGATGGGGTTAGGGTCGTGCAAGACCTGCACACACGGCTTTTCGATTAGAACAATCATCTCTTCATTCATATTCTGGGATATAAACTCTACAATTCTTCAAAATTTCGCCTTCGGGCAATTGGTCAATTGAAACGATACAGAGAAGATTAGCGGCACGCCCGGGCACAAGGACGCCGTGACATCTTGTCTATGAGATTTATACCATTTTTTTGGTGGTTTCAGTCGCTCGTTCGACTCTGATATCCTCCTTTTCCTGTTATCTGAGGTTTCAACTCATCTTTTTTTCCTAACTTCTCTGCCATGTTTGACGAGGGCTACTAGAGGCCGTACCCGTCACACAAAGCTTTTCGGCAATCTAGACTACTCTGACTAAACGCAACGCGATTCTGTTACGCAATGATCGGGGTCGTTCTTGAAGCTATGCCATGAATAGAATGCTCTTTATCAGATACTGGTGCCTATAGCCGAAACCTGTAGAAGAAACTGAGTTTATCGCCGCCTTGTATCAGGCCCGCAATCGAGGTGTTGCACTAATGATCGCCGGAGCAAGTGGGCAACATTGCTTTCACACCCAAAACGACAAGTCAGAGATAACGGCGAGCTCTCATTCGTCCATGACGGCACTCGTGCCCAGCCACTTCAACTGTTGCTCGACCACTTCCCCTCTTAGATATCCTAGGTACGCACAACTGCGAACTGCCGATTCCAACGATCAACCGGAGACGAGCTATGCAACTCAAGATGGATGAGCGACGGAAGGAGGCTGTGCCACTCGCAATGGCCGGGGAATACCAGTCCGAGCAGTTCGAGCCCGTCACGCAGACCTTGAAGGATGTGCATCAAGACAAGCTACCCGGCGACTTACACAAAGTCGACAAGACTTCGCGTATCATGTTCGACCACTTCAGGGGCAGTTAGTTTCCGATAGTGTTGCTGTTACGAGAAACTAACCATTTGAAAGATGAGCCCAACCGCGAGTACAAACCGAGTATGTCGAAACCAGTCAACCACAGTGACATGAGCAACAAGGACACCAAGAAGCATGCGGATATCCATATGTCCAAACCTACTGGTGTTGCTAATCAAAGGCCTTTGAGCAACCTACCGCCTGAGCTGCGACGCAGGATCTTCCAGCATCTGTTGGTGTTTAACGAACCCATACGAGTGATCTGCAAGTCGAAAGATCCCATGAAATTTGCCGGGTTCACTCGCGTACCCGCTGATCGGCACGGCAAGGTCCTTGTATCCTTTCATAATTACCTGCATACTTCAGGCTTGGAGGTGTTTACATTCGATAGTCTCCTTGCCATCGCAGCGACGAACCGAGAAAACTGCGAGTTGGCTCGTGAAGTTTACTATAAAGACAACAGATTCGTCATGCCCCGAGATAATTTTGAACCTCCTGGATTCCTTGCCAAAGAATGGCTAACAGCTATTGGTCCACGAGCTCGCTGGTATCTTGCAGACGTGACATTCGAGGTGGTCAAGATGGGAAAGCTACCGTACACGACGGCTGATCCCGATGATACGCACGAGATGCTTACACGCCTCGGTGAGAGCGCCTCTCTTCACTCCCTGGTCATTCAACGACTCGAGGCCTATCGCCTATCGCCAACTTGTGACATGGAGAAGGCACTCAACGCGCTATTTGACTACCGTGGTCTCAAGATCTTCATCATCGGCAACATGCCTGAGCTGGAAGCCTCCTCCGCTCGCTCCGTCACCCAGCCAAAAGACTTCATGCCCCTTAAGGAGCTACAGGCGTATATTATTGGAAACAGAGAACACCGCATCCTCGAGCCCTTGCAGGATCGTACACTCAGGAACTACAATATGAACGTCTTGCAGTATCTGTATGTACACACTCGCTCAACTGCCAACGTTCGTGACCACGTATCTTGCAAGGCCATGGAGAAGGAGTTCCAGGAGCGTGCGGCAGAAGCAGCAGCCATGTGCAAGAAGACGCTGGTGGACAAACTCATCGAGAGGGACGCGACATGGATGCGAGGTGCACAAGATCCCAAGGACGCTCAGGATACCTGCTCGCGAGAACCAAGGACCCCAAACAACTCGACGACTTTCCAGATCCGATGGTTGTAGACGGCTGATAGGCTACGTTGAGGTGACTTGGTTCGATGGTAGCTGGCTGGGTGGAGACAATAAGTGTCAAACCGTGCGTCTGTCGCTCAGATAACCGCATGGATCCTGCTTACAAGCATGATGTACGGTGCCTCTACACACCAGTATTTGCCTGATAGTCTAAGGGTAATGATACATACCCCTTGAAACTTTAGCATGTCTAATGAGGAATAAGTTGCCGGTTTCGTGCGTTGTAGTCGTGCTGTATATCTAAAAACCCTACAACGCCGACTCAAACACTATAATAGCTGTTTCAGAGTCTCTGGGTGCTGAATAATGATGCATGGAGCGCGAAAACTCCTCTGGGACGTAAGGGGACTTTGAGATTCTAGTCTCTTAGCCGGTACATTTCTATACTTTCATATGCGTATATCATTGTATTGGAGTACTTTGATCAATATTTGAGGATGTCGCAAGACAAGCAAGCAGCTGGGGCTAGCTGAGGGCACCATGCGGGGTTTCACAGCTGTCATCAGGCCGCATCAGCGACTGTTGCCTATCGACAGCATTAGATGCAAGTTTATTTAGAGTGCATACAAAATCCGCAGGTACATCCCCCTCATCTCTTGAGCTGTATCTTAGGTGAACCCCAAGCGCGGGGCTGGGCTTTTTGGAGTTATTGTTGGGCGGCATACTTTGGCTTTTGTTGCTACTTCACTACCTGCTCCCAAATTGGCTCACCGTTTATGATTAACGATCCAAGATCTCCCTCTTTCTTTAATTCAAGAAGCCCCTACTATTACACAGCAATATCGGCATCGCTAGCATGGAGCTGCAGATCCTCGTCCGCATCTTGGGATCCCACAACGATTTTGAGTTATTCAAGTACGCGGAGCAGAGCGTGACGCTGATCCGGAAGGCCCTGCTAGTAGAACAAGACGGGGATTTAATCGAAGGTCAACGCTACATGAGTTTAGAGTTACTACATGCCACCAGTAAGCTATCCCACTGTCCGTCGATCAACGTGTCATGAAGTGTCGTCTTTAATGAGAGTTGATGGGCACGATGTAGACATTCGTTTCCAAACTCGCTTCCCCCTTCTGACCTCAGCATAACTCGCTCCGATGAAGATCTTCCATCTGGGCGCACACCCTGGAAGGCAAGAAGAAGGTCAAAGGATGGAGGGCGTTCCACGAGTCAGTCTACACCCACTTCACGGTGCCGCCCCTCCTACGCGCGCTACTCACCCGTGGAACTCGTGCTCACCGCAGATGGTTCGAAAAAAAGAGTAGGCTCCTAAATTTGTATCAAGAACTCTTTCCCACCTACATCCAAAGGGTCGATCAGAAGATAGACACAACGTGGGACCAAGCGGAGCTTATCATGAGAATATACTATGACTGCCATGAAGTTGTTCTCTCAGAGGCAGCGACGTATACCGTTGTCGTAATTATTGCAGTTAGGATGGACAAGGATGGGGAAATGAAGGCTTTGGTAGACGAGATAATAGCTGAGATGGTTGTACAGGGTCGCGATTCTCAGGACCAACAAGACAGTCTCGAATATGACAAGTCCGTCCGGCAATAGACTAAATAGAGGAAAAGGGAGGAATTTAAGGCAATAATTCATTGTGCAAACACCTATTCAATCTTCACATGTGTTTGGCCCTACTTTCTGAGGTGTCATGACGAATACATAGTTTGTTTTGTCTCAATAACAGCGAAATGATGATTCTTTACAAATTTTTGCCTTATCAATCAACTGTGAAACGAAAGATGGTCACCAACGGGTAAAGAATACTTTGGGCTTAAGTAGTGATCGTCTTAAATCCTTCACATAGCCAAAGACATTGAGATAACTAACTAAGAGAGCACACACTACAACTCAAGAACAATTTTCATAACTGGGAATTGTGGTATCGGCCAAGACGTTCTCGTCTGAGTATGGTGCACGTAGTCTGTGAAAGACGGGAACACCTGGGCAGATTACATCACATTGTATGTTCTGGGTAGGTGCGCAGTGCCTGAAGGGGGCAGCGAATAAGCGCGCACTATAACTCTTGTTATTTCATTCCTTGACCCTACGTCATGGTATTTGGCAGCCTGCGCTTAGATGCGGTATCAGCACGTGCGTCCGCATCCGGTAGGCTATATAAACAACCGATCACTCGCTTTTCGCTTCGATCACAACACAACCCCCACCACCTACCTAGGTACCCCCCATATTAACAGGAAAATCTTGGAATCTCTTATGCGCGAGTTACGAGAAGCTATAGAAGAAACCTCCGATAACAAGAAGATGGTTAAGACCTTGGCCGAGGTTATGGGCTTTCACTCAGACGTAGAGCTGGTCCAGTACGTGGAAGACAATGCGGCCACGTTGTACTATGTCAAGGAAAAGCCATGCCCTAACACAAGCCTGGAAGAGGAGAACTCTAACAAGAGCTTGGAAAAGATACAACTTGACAAGATCCTAGACGAGATGCATCTTGACAAAAGCCTAGACAAGGTGCACCCTAACATGAACCTTCCTGGTGTGGCGGAAGCAGTTAAGTACTGGAATAGTAAGTTCAAACATAACAGTGCGATCTTCGCAGTCAACCCCAATACTAACATTAAAAAAGACGTTCATCTGCATCACATCCTCCCTCATCCAACTACAGCGATTGAGAAGTACTCGAGCGGAACGTACTTCTATATCTGGATGTATTCCTCACAAGGCAAGGTCGAGTTAGCCCCTTGGGGTATTTGCTCGGATGATCATGATACACCAGGTCCAACCTTTGTTCGTCAGGCTCTAACATGCGGTACTCCCATGTACACAGAGCTGGTTGTTAATTGTGGACGCAACCTCAACGCCAAGCAGAAGCTTGCTATTTTCGAGATTCGAAACTATCGTCAAGATGGCCTCATTAGCGAGTACAGCTTGCTTCATAGAATCAATTGCACGCTTTCGCATCTCTGTGGTTTACACTATCTCAGACAGCATCTTTCCCCAGAGGACCGTGACGAGATTCCCATGATCCTTGATTCAGCCCACTACAACTACGATGATCCACAGCACTTCAAGCTTTGTGGCTGGGATTCATATTGGGGATTGTTCATGCGTGGAGTCGACAGCGAGTACATTATCTTCAAGGACCACTTATGGGGTGCCTTGACTCCCTCTCTTGTCGAGTACACTACTCATAAAGCCCAAGACCCATCCAAGAACAACGGCTCTACCAGATTCCAGAACCTGCCGACCGAGCTCCTCATTAAGATCTTCCGATATGTCCTCAAGTTTAACGAGACGTTGACTATCATCTATCACCCTGAAGATCGCTCGTACAATTTTGTCGTCATGTTAGACCCATTGGGTAACGAGTTCTTGATAGATCATCCTCGAAGCCGTCGCCATGAGGTCAGCATATACGAGAACTCCAGGCATGTTCCAGAGTCCCTAGCCAACTTCCTTGCACTCCTTGGAACAACCAAAAATATGCGCACCCACGCCCTAAAGATCTTCTACAAGGAGAACACGTTCATCATGAACGGTGGTGTCGACCTTGATGGCATTGAGCACATGGGTACTCACGTGGAGGACTGGATGATGAGCGTTGGACCTAGTGCATGCGCGCTTCTCCACGGACGTGTCGAGTCTCGTGTCCATAAACAGGCCATTCGTGGTAACTACCCGGCGGCTCTGAGTAGGCTTCGTGGCCTTGGCGTTCATGTCATCGAGGAGGATATTGTAATAAATGCGGGAGATGCTGACGAGGACGATGCTTGGGCAAGCAGTGACGACGACATCTGGGCAGTCACTGATGACGGCACTGAGGAAGACACTGACGACGTCACTGAGTAATCGCGCACGCCGTAGGAGGTCATCATTGTAAAACAGGGTTATTGCGGCAAGTCTGAACGATCTCTCAAGTAGAGTATGATAGTGGTGATTGGAAAGTTCTAGGCCTAGCGATAGGTACTCTGCTACCTCGCCCATGACTGTAATCCAGTACAAAGACAAATCAAACCTCTCATCAAACCAATTTGAAGCAATTGTTTGTGAAAGCAATTAGATTGTATACATGCACTTCCATACCACAATGACATTTACATTCGTCTAATCATAACTCAATAACCTACACCTTAAACAGGCACCCTCCCCGCCACACTCTTCCAATACCCACATCTCTTCTCCAACAGCCCCGTCCCGCCCTGCTTCAACCCGCCTGCCGAAACCAAGAACTGCTTTCCGCTATCTAACCCTGGAACACCAGGTACACTTGCATTGGTAACCTTATGCGCATTCGGATCACCTGTTTGAATGAAACTCGCCTGCGCGCCCGCGTAACCTTGGTAAGTCAGAGGGTCGGATTTTTGGATCGGATTAATAGTGTTCCACTAGTAGCATATAAGTCAGCACATGATATCTGAGAAAATCTACAAGTAGGAGAAGAGGAAAAGATTAGGTAAGAGACAAGGAAGAAAGTGGGGAAAAGAAACAACATACGTATTGCACATCACTAGCATGTTTAGCCGGTGAAATCGTATACTCAACAATCCACCCCTTCTCCGCCTTGCTCGCCATCCAAAACGCCGGACAAGCAAGCACGATATCACGATACAAGAGTCCCGCGCGAATGTACGTGGTATTCCAACTTATCTCCTCCGCTTCGCCTACTGCTGGATACATTTCTTTCACGCTGGCTAGGTCCTTGGCTGTGAGGTCAGGCAGGTAGCCGCGAAGCCAGCTATCAAACGACGTGGCAGATGAGTTGAAGCCATCGGCGCCTGTAGCGGCTTTTGAGAAACCGGGTGGGATGAAATTCTCGCCCTCGTGGAGGTTGTAACTCGTCAGCACTGTGTCCGCATTTAGGTGTCCCTTTGCAATGACCTCGCTCAGAGATTCTGTGAGGAAATTTGTGTCAATTACGGGGCCGTAGGTAAAAGAAGATGTGGTGTATTGTTGGCTTGTACTCTGTTTCAATGCGCTGTCTCTTAGCTTCTGCACATTGACGTCTTTCAAACAGGCGATTTCGTCGGCAGTACCATTGCAGCCTACGTCTTGGAGAGTCTGCTGGTACAAGGCTTCTGCCCAGGGACTGTTGTAGCGGTACGTTTTCGGCCAAAAAGGGGCTGCTAGCCATAGCTTTGGTGAAGAGTTTCTTACCGCGGTTTCCCGTGGCGATGGTTTGGGCGACGACGCTGCCGCCGCCGGCGGATTGGCCCCAGATGGTGACTTTGTTCTTGTTGCCGCCAAAGTGGTGGATATGCTTATGAATCCATTGGAGGGCGGCTTTTTGGTCAAGAAGTCCAGGGTTGAGGTCGACGTCTGGGTGTTGTGCTATCTTTGAGCCGGGGAGGAAACCGAAGACGTTGGTACGGTAGTTGGAGTAGACAACTACGTAGTCATTGCTGGAGGAGACGTTTAGGACGGGGAAGCCGGAAGGAGGGATGTCGAAAGTGGCGCCTCCGCGGATGAAGCCGCCGCCGTAGAAGGTCAGTAAGACGGGTCGGAGATGTTGCTTCTTGGTCCATGGTCGGGAGTAGATTCCGAGATATAGACAATCTTCAGAGCCGTTAACCGTCCGCTGGGGACACATGTCGAACGCCTGGTTAGAGTCGTATGTGCCATTTGTAATGGGTAGTGGTGATTGCGGAGCGCGGAAACGGTTCTGGCCTGCTGTTGATGCTGCAAATGGGATCTTGCGGAAATATGTTAAATTGTACTGTGAAGACAACGCGCCGCGAAAGGTACCATAATCGAGCTCGACAGTGGGATTAGATGCAGTCTGCGATGCATGCTTGCTAGGCAATGCAACTGCGAAAGGAACGCTGCATAGCGCAAGGAGCGATACAGCAAGACGTAACATTTTTAGCGACGCGACTACCTAGTTCTATTCCAGGGGCCAAGGCGATATATACACTAAATACTGTTATTAGCCCCCATCTCGTGTCTCCGCAAATCCAGCATACTAGCAGGCACCAGATTGCGGGGATGCGCGCACATCCTGGAGGCGACAATCGACCCCAACAGCAAGGATGTGCGACTCCTGTGATCTCGGTATAATCACTACCGAGACATGAACGGTGATATTGAACCGGAGGCTAGAGATCTTCCGGAAGACGTCTTACATGAGTTCCTCCGGTAACGTCGATTGGGGGTTAGTACGACGCTTGTCAGCACTAGCTTAGCAGCAGCAGCAGATTGTATGGTACAAACACCAACACACAAAGGTAAAAGTGCATGGAGAAATGATAGTTTGTAACAAAATAATCACCCAACACCCCGTGAGGTCCCAGATCTCCAAACGCCGTCGTATCTCATAACGTTAAATCGTGAACATATCATGCGAAGCAAGCAAGAAGCCTGCTACTTTCTCTCACCCTTCCTCCCAGTCTTCTTCAGTCTCGCCCCAAGATCTAGCATGGCGTCTGCCCATACTGACATACGACCCTCTTCCTTCACCTCATTTCCACAAAAGTCCCTCAGGAATGCACCCATCTTCTCCTCGCCATACTTCTCACCGTAGACAACCTCGGCCCTTGTGCTGACATCGGTCTCTATACCTTCCTTGCCTAGAACAACGCCAACCTCAAAGGTGGCCCTGATCTTGGTCTGAAGAGTAGGAAGAAGCATGTTGGTAGAAATTGCCATCCGCTCGTCTGAAAGAATATACTCCTCGGTAATGTAGCTGTGCTCGAGCCATCGAACACCTGCAGCAACTGCGAGAGCAGTAGCCCAGCCATTCTTGACAAGCGACAGAAGTGACGAGATGCGCGTTTGTGATTGAGGGATGCAATGAAGATGTGCGCGGATGAGCTGGAGGAAAAAGCGTTTGCTAGTGGTCAGGGGACGAGGATGGGGTGTTGCCGAGTCCCCAATGTATGCGAGTGATATGGAAGCATTGGGTGTGTCCGAGCCTGTGGCGAAGGCAGAAGGTGCAAAGTACAATTCCAGATCGTTCAGGTGGGTCATTGTAATGCTTGTTGAGGAAGCCGAAGTAATGGACCAGCCGTGGGCTTGCTCGAGAGCAGTGACTTTGGCTATAGTAATGTTAGTGGGATTCATGTTGAGGGATAAACTTGACATACCTTTCAGGTTACTGACTTCGCTTGTAGACCAGCCACGGCAGTTTTCTCGCAAGCGCTCAGCTGCTTTGATTTCTTCAACGCACTCAACTTTTCGGTCTTTGGCTGCCTGGATACGCTGCTCCTTATCGGCGAGCTCTTGCTGGAGCCGAAGTAGCAATTGCTTCTTCTTTTGCAATTCGGCATCGGTAGCGACGAGCTTTTCCCTGGTCTGCTCAAGCTCTTCCCGGTCGCAGCTATTAAGCTCATCATGACGCTGCTGTAGCTGCTTACACTCAACAGACAAGTGCTCCTTCTTCTCAATCAGGGGCGGCAGCACAACATCGAGTAGCTGTTCCTGGTTGACGAGTGTAGACTCATCACGCTTGAAGCCATCCATTGTGTGAAAAAGACCTGCTTTAAGATCATGCAGAAGCGTGCTTCGCCATGTGTACCACTCGCCGCGAGCCTCAAGACGAGCGTTCGTCTTCAGGTTCTTGAATTGGTTGTCCATGACCTTGCGTTGATCCGGGGGAGCAGTGAGGTATTCGCTGAAGAGCAGTGGGTTATCCTCCAGGACATTTGCCTCCATAGTGCGGACGAAGTGGCGGCCGTCGGAGATGTATTTCTTCATCTCATGACACGCATGTTGATAGAGCTCGTACTCTGGCAGAGTGCATGCACCGGCCACAACATAGCGATCCAAAGACTCCTCTTTCTCCTCCACTTCCACGTCGTGGAACGAAGCAGGAGCTGCAGTATGACGTCGCTTGGTCGTACTAAGATCCATGAAGCGAATCTTTGTCATGTCAAGGAAGTCTTGCAATGAGATACGTTCAACTTCCGAACCATCATCTGCAACGCTTTCTTCCACCTCGTTCTCTTCTTCCGGTTGTTCACCAAAGAGTACACGCTTCTTAGGGCTCATACTCTTTCGTGGCGTAGCTTTCTTGGGGGTTGGAGTCTTTTGCTTTGGCGTCTGCTGCTTTTGTGGGGTTTGAGATTTCTTTGGGGTCAGACCCTTTTTCATTGGTGACATCAACGATTGCTTCCGTGGGGTCGAAAGTAGCTTGATACTGTTGCTGAGGATTGCCGTGCTCTTCAGCACGGGTTCCTCGCGTGGGGCGTTGATGGGGCTGAATTGTACCGCAGACAATGAAGAGCGGCGTCGGTTCAAGATTGGCGCTGCGACTGGGTCTTCGGGGATTGCCTGTGGTGTCTTCTGTCGCTGTTCACTGGTTGGGGTCGTAATAGCGTTGTTTTGCTTCAAGGCGCTCAGGGGAGTTCGGCGCACGAACGGGGATGGCTCGATCTCTTCGATGTCCCTTTGCCTCACAATTTCTGGAGTTTCTGGATCAAGGTTCGGGTAGACGACCTCAGCAGAGGTGCTAGGAGTGATGTCCTTCAGCACTTCCGGCTCAGCCTTGACTTCGTTCCTGAGCATGGAAGTCCTTCTATTACCAGGTGATTTCTTGAGTGCCTTCTGAGGCGTTGGTGTCTTGGTGGCGGGGACAGGAGTAATATCAGCAGGTTTCTCTGGTGTTGAGGATGGCTTGTCGGCACGTCTAATGCCAGGACCAACAATCTTTGTGAACTCCATGGAAAGGTCCTCATCCTCGACCTCATTCCCCTCCTCGTGTTCTTGCTGCATAGTCGAATCCCCCTTCTTGATAGAACCAACAGCCAAAGTGAAGTCCATTGTTGCATCTTCGAAAGTGGATTGGACGCTAGCACGCCTCGCAGGCTCAGGCTGCGGTGCCTTCTTAATCGCTCCAATTGCCATTGTAAAGTCCATGGTCGCATCTTCCTGGGCTTGTTCTTCTGACTGTCGACGTTGACGCAAGCTCGTGCGTCGGCTTGCAGTGCGCTTCGCCGGACTTCCTTGCTCAAGTGTCGAAACTCTCCTCTTAAGACTCTTCCTTCGGTTGGCTGGCGCATTCGACGCCATAGCTTGTATGCTTCCGAGCGGCATGGTGAGTTCCATGCTCATGTCCTCCTCCATGTCGGAACTCGGTGCGTCTGACTCTTCTTGCTGTTGTGGTGGAACAATGCGGCCGACCGCACGTGTGATATCCATGCTCATGTCTTCGTCATCCCCAGCTTCTGTTCGTGCTGGTGAGGCGACAGGGCTTTCGTTCTCCTTGTCGTATTCCGTAACGTAGCTCTTTTTTGCCCATGGTTTGAAGGCTGCGGTAACCTCGTCTTGTGCAATGTCCATAGTCATATCACCATCATCGTCAAAGTCCAGGTTTTGTGTGACTGCCAAGTTGGATGCCTCTCGCAGTGCAGCATCTAGTCGGGCGCTGCTTTGGGAAGAATCTTCGTTGTCAGGAGAAGCCCCCAGATTCTCGGTCCCATCACTATCATCAGAGTCGCTACCATTGTCGTTGTCTCCGGGTGATGCGTTATCTCCGCTCAAAGGGCTTGAGGAGTAGACGTCATCTGGGTTGTTGAAGTTCATGGGCGGTATGCCAGAACTTCGGCGGTTCTTCTTTTGATGTGATGCGCGCTGGTTTGCAGGTGACGAGCTGGCCTCTGCTTCAGCCTCTTCTGCTTGTTCTGGTGGGGTCGATGGTGGCTCTGCGGGGTCGGAAGGAGGGGCAGGCGATGCCGGGGTAGACGCTTGAGAGACGGTTGAGGCTCTTCGAGTGACCTCGGACGAGGCAGAGGAACTGGTTGCATCGCGCATGTATTCGACTACATCCCAAGTGTGTAGAGTCGCCTCTGGCGCGAAAGATACGCGTCGCCTTGCTAGAGAGGCGTCAGTTTTGACTCAGGGGTCTTTATATCGTGCAAACCTTACCCAGCGACTTGCGACGGGCTTCGCGTCTCTTCTTCTCGTCTTCATCGTTTGAGGCTAGAATTGACTTGACCGCAGGAATAAAAGCAGACTATTTGGTTAGAGGCATGCACTCCAACTTTCGCATACATTGCGCATACCTTTCTGCGGTTTCCAAACGCTTCCTTCAGCGGTGGTGCTTCCAACTCTCCCAGACCTCCTGGACCAATACTCTTACTGCGCGTCTTGCGCGATGACTTCTTTGGTGACAATGCCGCTTTCTTAGGGGATTGTGAGGGGGCCTTGGAGGCAATACCCGCGATCAAGCCATCGGCGATGTTCTCTTTGGCGTTGGTTTGCGCCATGGTGAACTCGTGGAATTGGTTAGCGATGGTGTTGTTCCGACAAGACCACTGATGTAAACACGAAAGGCGCCAATCCAAACAATGGGCCATGAGTCCGTGCACACACCCCGGTAGATCGCCTGGTCAAGTGATCTGCACCCTCCCTCTGCACATCATGCCCCTCTCCTACACATGCATCTCAATTGTGTTCTGACTCGGCTGTAAGAATCAGCAAGTTTTGCAAGGAGGTTTTCGAAAGTTTGGACAGGGTCTCAGCGACGCCCAGTCGAGCCACACCTTGATCGCAACAGCATAAAATGAGAAGTATGTTATTGCAAGCTACCTAGTACAGTCTATCATAGATCCACCTGACATTCTGGGTATAAAAAAACGAGTGATGGAGGCAAAATCACAAAATACAAACAGGGCAACAAAAGCACCAAGAATCCAAAACACAACACGAACTATACCTAGACCAAACGGAAGAAGCGGCGCGTGGAATCAAGTCCAACACTTGGTATCAAGCCTTCCCACACCATCGCCCTTAGCTCCACCCAACCTCAAATGTCCCTGATGATTCTCCTACGTCGCAGCGGCTTGTACTCCTCCGTCTTCAACACGGTCGTCTTGCGGTACCTGCTCCACTTCTCATCTTCGAAGTCCTTCGCCTTCTCCTCATACTCTCCCCAGCTATCCCTCCCGGTCAAGCTTCGCTCCCTAGATGTAGAGCGCTCACTGGATTCCCATGCCTCGTCGACCAACCTGTCCTTGCGACGGAAAACATCGCTGGGCCAGAGGTGAGTATCGAAGTCGCGAGTGAGGGAGCGGTGGTGGTGATGATGGGATGGACGTGATCGCTCGATGGTAGCCTTGAGGCTGAGACGGACTCCGTGGTCGTCCACATCGTCCTCGAAGCGGTCAGGTGAGTTTCTGTATGTGTGGCGGGTCTCGTGGCTGCGGCGCCTGTCATCATCGTTGTCGTTGCGTCTGTTGTCGGGCCAGACGTTGTAGCGTTCCAGTTGGGAGGGCTCATCGCGGACCGTCAGAGCACGGGACAGCTTAGCGGCTTTGTGCTTGGTAGAGTAGGGGTAGTCATCGTGGCCATCGTCATCGATGTCGGATAGTGTGATATCACGACGGCGTTCGTTGGACTCGCGAGGCATCTGAGCACGAGAGCAGGAAGGCTCGTAGTCAGGAGTGCGCTCTCGGAAGCGAGTGTGGTTGAAATGGAAATAAGACATCTTTGGTACCCGATGGGGTGTCTGGGTGAGGTGTTGGAGCGATATAGTAATGCAGAAAGCAAGGTAGAAGTTGGTATTGAGAAGGAAGCTGCTGTGTCTGTGATGTGGGACGATTGGAGGTACTTATACTTGGGCTGTGGAGGACAAGGCAAAAAATACCACAGTCATTTTCACCTTCTTTATACCATCGGACCATATGTCTCAACTGCCTACAGGAAGCCAACGACATTATACTCGGCCCAAGCACCGCCTCGATTCTGTGGCTCAAATCGTGGCTGAGGCACAACTTGCCGTGCTGTGATTGGCTGCGCCGTGTTGTCGGCGCGCTCCGCGTGAACGTCGTTCACCGGTTAGGTCTGGATCGCCAAACCATGGAGGCTGAACGATTACCAGTTTGCTTCATCGGATAGTCGCAGTAGCCGCCGTTGTTCATTCCTAAAGGTTCACGCAGGCTGAAGCTGTTGGTTGCCACTGTGAGGCTGTGACTATGTGGAGGTGTGGGGGCCTGAACGTGATGGTTAAGGTGGGCTGGTGTAATCCAAGTACGAGAATGCAACGGGTACCTGCCGATGTTGAGATGGCTGCCTATGAGGATGCGCCCTATTGTTTCAAATCTGTTCCCGGTTTCCCAGTTCATGGTGCACCTAGGTACTTTGCCAGTCGAAGCTGACGAATGCGGCGTGGTCGCATGGTCATGTGGTCTTGCTAGCTAGGTCGTGAATTGGGGGCCCCTTCGGCAAGTTGGGCATTTGCAGAGGTCATTCGGAGACGGTGACTGGTGTTGTAGCTACGCCGCAATCTTGGGGTTACATTACGAAGCATGGCTAGAGTGAGTCGTATACATTTGAACAGCATTAGCGACAGGACCCTCAATACTTACAAGGCTGCCTCCCAGTTCGCGTACAGTAGGATATACACCCGCGTGTTACATCTCTTTGAGAATCGCGGGGTCCCCCTGCACCGAAGAGGCCGGCAATGAGGGCCAGACAAACAAACGTTGACTCATGACAACACATGAGCACGATAGCTTGCGTATCTGCCTCCCAAGTCGCACATCATGCCTTGAAAATTAGTCCTCCAAGCTTGTTAAGAGTACAACCGACCGCGCCTCACACTATATCTCTTACACTGCCTTCGTGTTCTTCCCCAGTGGGTGTTCTATCCTGAGGCTTAGAATACACGCAAGCTTTGCTCCAGTATTTATCACCTTGATCGGTGTACTGAGATGCTTCTTGTTGTGATTCCTTCTATGAGACTGGTATCAGTCAGCTGTTGCTTGGTTGCAGCCAACTTTGTGGCGCCTCTGCGCGTCGAGCTATCCCTGACTTATAGTGCAATATTGGACTGGTCTGTCTCACTATTGATCTCTTAAGACTATCACCAACGATAACAAGACTGAATGGTGATCAAGCTGTCTTCTGTGGTTGAAGAGCTGGTATAGGAGACTGCAAGATGCAGATCGGAAGCCAGGATCAAACTACCGATTACTTTTCCGGGAAGGCCGAATGTATAATTAGGCGTCTTGTTTACTCCCCAATCGTGCTGTTGCTTCTGGACTGGTTCATGGGGCGAAAGGATTCAGTATCCGGGGCGCAGGTCAATCATGTGACCCCTGTCCCACGACGATGGGAAGATGTATCTTGTTCTTCAGACTCATTGCCGACTCCAACACGGAGGTTGTCTCTGATTTGATGGAAATAAAGGCTGAGTCCTAAATTGACTATTGCGCATAAAGTGGTGGTTGAGGTGGTGGTTGAGGTGGTGGTTGAGGTGGTGGTAGAGTGGACTGCGGGGGGTTGCGACACCAACCCTTGGCATGTGACTGCGCGCGATGGTCGTCTCCGCTAACCGTGATGAGCCTCTCCTTGCGTTGCGGCACAGCACGCGAACATCCTCACATTGGAGCCATGGCTGAAGATAGGGGGTTAAGGTGCTTTGAGGTACAGGAACCTGTTTCCTGCCTCTTGCTTCTTCGCAGACCGCCCTGAAGCGCTACGCACGCATTGTTATTTATGTGAGATTATAGAATTCTCATGCTCGCATGCCTGCAGTTCGACTCTGATATCCTCCTTTTCCTGTTCTCTGAGGTTTCAACTCATCTTAGATTTTAACTTATCTGACGTGGAGACGCCGAAAAGAGAGTGCGTCGGCTACACACA